CTGCAGGTGAGGTTGTGGAATTGGAAGTAGAGAGACTGTCCTGGATGGTCTCAGTGGACTGCAGGTGTAATGACAACATTCCACATTTGAGGGATGCAGGAAGAGCCAGCTGAGAAGGAAACATGATGCTGCGGTGGGAAGCTGGAGGGAGGTGCTTTGAAGATGGAGAAAGTGATGACAAGCCAGGCGATATGATGAAAAAGCTGAGAAACAAACCCTCTCTCAGACTCCAGAACTGTAGGCTGCTAACACGTGGAGTTTAGTTCAGAGAAGCTGAATTTGGACTTCTTAGCTCCAGAACTTTTAGAACTGTTTGTGTTCTTTTATGCCACTGGACTGTGTGATCAATTATAGGAGCAATATGAAGCAAAGACACTATCTGGCTTGTTGGAAACCAGAGATTCATATGTCTTTGTGACACACGAGGTAATCTCTAAATCCTAAATGCCTTTTTAATTCTGTTTGCTTCTTTCCATTCTAACATCACTATCCTAATCCTGGCAAACTCTTACCTGCTCTCCAGGTTGTTGCTTCTTTGAATTCCTTTCTTTTTTTTCAGCCAGAGTGCTTTATTTTTTTCCTAATAAGACTGTATCATTTCTTCTGCATCAGGCTGCCTGTGGATGCTGATTGCCCTAAGGATAAAGTTGGGGGATAAAGAGTAGTTTGTTCTCTAGAAGCACTTGCTTGGTTCTGCAGTGCAGAGTGCAGAGGTTGACTCTGCTGAGGAGGAGCGGGGCTGAGGGGAATAAACGGGCCCTGTGTCTAGCCTGGGGTTGTGGCTCTGCACAAGCTGGGTCATTGCAGTGGCCTGGTGTAGCTTCAGGCCTGATGAGGTGCACCAGCTACGTCATTCCTTGGTGTTTCTCCAGGTTAAGTTATACAAACAACTGCTTTGGTGTGTACTCATAAGCCAAACCCAGAGAAGACAGGTCTCCTGAGGGTCACTGCTATTGTCACACTTAGCTCTGTGTACTCTCAGGCACAATTTAGTGGCCAAAAGCTCATTGGTGTCTGTGTCCTAGAGAAGCATTATTCTCCTGACTATCCTGACTTTATTCTTTACTCTTTAAGTAAACCTGATTTTGTTTATCTGTATCTGCATCTAATCTTCTTGGTCTTAGTCAGGTGCCACTGGAGTGATGATGGTGGTAAGGGCTAAACTCTGAACACAACAACCTTAAGCCTTGAAAGTTCTGTTCTTAAACCAGACAAGCTACTCCCTCCTGCACTTCTTGGTTCCCTCTTCCCCATCCCCATCCTGCCAACTCTTGTCATGCTTTAGGACTCATCTCAAATGTGCATCCCACCAGGAAGCCATTTCTGACACCCCAAGGCACTTTGAAAGTTCCCCGCCCTAATAAGGATTATGCTATGATGTGATGTTTTGTTTCCTTAGCTGTGGCTTCTCTAAGACTGTACGCAAAGAGTGGATACTATTTCATCTGATTGGTTCATTACTGAAATTTTAGTGCTGGGTACCATAGTTAAGTAGTGAATAAATGTGATTTAATGAACAAGTAGACCAGCAGTCATGTTTTACTGAATGCCTCCTACATGATTGGCACCATGCTAGATGCTGTGCATATGTGTGTTCTCTAATCCTACATACAACTATGCAAGACTAAATTCTCAAGACTATGTTGCAAAAATTATGAATTGAAGGTTGATAACACGTCTGGCATCACTATGAAAAGCACAGCTGGAATTCGTACTCAGATCTACCCATAGTAATGCAGTGCATCAGTATATTTACTACCTGCATTTTTAAGGTGCCCTTTCTCCTCCTTGTCCCCCTCCTTATCATTCACAATGTGATCTCATTCGTATCAAGACATCTACCTTATCTAGGGACAGAGGAAGCAGTGTTCCCAAAATCCCAAGAAATTAGTCTAGATTCTGCCTTCTGTTTTCAGGTCTGAATAGTTGGATCTGATTGTCACAGCTCTCCCATTCACACAAGTTAGCTCTGCTTTATGCCTAGTACTTTCCTATTATCTCCTGGAAATATTGCATGGGTTACAGCCTCTGGGGGGGAAATGGGGCTGAGATTTTTGTTTTGAAGGCCCATGGCTTTCATAACATTCACAAAGACATCTCTGGACTTATTGGTCCTCCTTGGGCGTTCCATAGTCTTGTTCTCTTTTTAGGATTGTTGTGTTAGGTTTGTTGCAGCTATCTCAAAGGGAGACCTTCTTGACTTCTGGAAAACATATTTGGGAGTTTTCTAATCGCAAAACCCTCATATATGCAAAAGGCTGGGCCACAATTGATACCTAGGTTCCTTTCTGAGCAAGCATTCTGAGTTCTATGCTTCCTAGGTGTTACAGGATTACTTAAAACAGCAAATGAAGGCTACAGTTATTGTTTCCATATACAAAAATGATTTTGCATGTAGAAACAGGAAACAGAGGTATGGAAATTCTCTTCGCAGAGGAACTCACAGTGATTAACTTTAGACTCACATTGTTTTCTCTCGTGGCATTTGAATAGTCCCCTGACAATCTCCAGTAAAGGAGTCCACAGTTCATATATGTCCAGAGCTGATGCCTTATAATCATTCTTATTGACCATCTAGGATGGTCTACATAAAGGATTTTTTCCTTTTGTAAATGGGGGAAAATCAGGCCATTGATCCCGAATGTATTATTTACATGTACTATGAATTTGTGAGTGGACTGATTGCTGTTTATATGCTTACAGTATTTTTAATGTTACCATTCACACCATTGCTACTTTTTACAATTACTATTTCCCACTAATGTGTCTCTCATTTTTTCATTAAATGAATATGGAAATTAGAAGTAACAAATAGCAAATTAGGGCTTGTTTCTGAGACAGTATTTATAGTTATATAATTATGATTTGCTTGCTTATTATGTTATTCTCCTTTCTTAGAAACCTTTTGAGGATCAAATGTCCTCTGTTTTGTTAACAGAAGAACACCCTTCAAAATTCTTTTCTGGCTAGAAAGTGGCCCTGAAAGGTACAATTTCTCAAGTCTGGTAGACTTGGGGAAAACACTTTTGTGTGATGAGGATAATAACACGGTGAAACCTTCCACTTGTTAAATACCGATTATGAGACAGGTACTGGCTATTCTATTCACATGCAGTCGCATCTTCATTCTCCTTAACAAGCCCTTGAAGTGGCTACTATTCCCACTTGAAATATACAAAATGAGTCCGGTGACTTGTTCAAGGGCACACAGTAAATGAATAGTGGTGTAATGCACTAAAGCACCTTCACTCAGCCTGTATTGTACTTTTTCTTGCCTTTGTTGCTTCTTATGTTCAAGGTAGTCTAGAGCCATGGGCATCTGTGAGTGGACCCACTATCTTGCTCTTGAATACTTAAGAAACTAAAATGTTGATCCTTAGTTTGGGAAATTCATCAGATTACTAGTAAAAGAACTTCATATACAAATAAAGACAAGTTTGAAATATTCCAGAGGCAAAATACAAGGTTTAAGTATATATTGTATAAAGGTAACCAATAGATGCTCAGACAATAATACAGAATTTTGAGGGAAATTCAGGATACTGTCTTACTTTTTAAATGTATTTCTTAGTTTCATTAGCCTGCAAAAGGGTATAAAGATGAATTTTAGATTAGAAGGAAGTCAGAAAAAGAAGTAATCAACCACATAAATTCCTGATAATCTCACTTTTGCCCAGAAGTCAATGTATCATCACATAGAACTATGAAGTTCTAGGTTACCGGATGCTAACTTTCTAATTCCAATGCTGATGCAAGTCATGAGGAAGAAATTATGATTAGAAAATAACACAAAATCTAAATTTGGCCAGGAGGAGATTTCCCACCTAGCCTTCAAGGACCTCGATCTTCCTGATAGCCACTTAGCACAGTTTTCAAAGGTTTTAATCATAAAAAATTTACCTAATAAAATTCTCTACTTTAGAACATAGGATACTTTTGATCAAACTACAGAAACTTAGCCTACAATGCATTTCTAGCTCATTGGAAAAAAGAATTATTAAAATTTAAATAGTATACATAACAGGCTGAGAAGACATTTCTTCCAGGAATGAAGACATTTCCTTATGGAAGACATTTCCTCATGGAAAATCAAACAGTTATTTTTAGAATGGAGAACAAAATGGACCATAAGACACAGGGCTTTCTTCTTTCCCTTTATTCAGAAAGCTATTGAAGTAAAATGATACTAAGAGCCAAATGTAAGAATGAACAGTGCCTTCTCAGAGTTTAGGGAATCAGTCCTTTCCTGAACTTGGTAGCTACACTAGTATCCTGTAATCCTCCTAAACTTTCAGAAAGGAGCCTGTTATAGAATTTTAAATTATTATTAATATTATTATTTTAGTTATGAAGTCCTATGGATGCATAAGTATATTTTCTGACTACTTGGTCAAATTTTAGAGACAATAATGTCATGATCAGAAAATCTATTCAACTTTTTCAGGGAACTTGTTTATATAGAGCCCATTTCTTTTTTTCAGATAGGATCTCACTACACAGTCAAGTAGCTTTGAACTTGTAATTCTCTTGCTTCAATCATTCAAGTGCTGTGATTATAGATGTACACCACTGCACCTGGCTTTCTTTTTCTTTCTTTCTTTTCTGTTCTTTCTTTCTTTCTCTTTCTTTTCTTTTCTTTCTATCTTTCTTTCTCTTTCTTTCTTTCTTTCTTTCTTTCTTTCTTTCTTTCTTTCTTTCTTTCTTTCTTTTTTTCTTCCTCCCTCCCTCCCTCCCTCCCTCCTTCCTTCTTTCCAAGACAGAGGGCATTGCTAACAAAAAAGAAATCTTTCAAGACAAGGGTGTCTTTGAAACTTAGTGAACACTGGAATTTTTAACAACCAACTGGGCTGCGTAAACCTCAACTAACTGCTACTGCAGATCTGGCTGCTCTGCTTACCTCAAGTTGCTGGCTGGGCTTTGTTCCCATGAGATTTTATTTTATTTTATTTTACTTTTGGTAGAATTCAAGACACAAGTGAGGGTCCAATTAGGCCAAGTAATTCTTTACAACAAGGTTTTATTTATTCTTTTCTTTGATGCCCCCCAAAACATTAGAGATGTTCATCTTCTTTTACTTGTAATGGTTTTTCTTTTGAATCCAAACGAGCATTTGTGTTACAGGATAGCCACCTGATGGACACGCAATGCTGAGTTCTGGCATTAGGAGTGATGCACCAATACATGGGAGGGCAGCACTGGCCGCCACCTAACCATCAGTACTTCAGGAGTCTCAGGCTGGCATAGCAGGGCATCAACCCATAAGGATGCACCTCTTAGGGCTTGACTCTCACATGTCTTAGGGTGCAGGTGGCAGCATTTGTACAGCCTGAGGCAGAGCACCCAAGTTCCATCGTGATCCCATCTTAAATGCTAATCTTCTAAAAGTAAATCAAGGAGGGAATGACCTGGCCTGAGGTCCCACAGGACAGAGGTTATGAACTGGACACCCTGTCATCTACCTCCTTCTAGTGATATCCCTCGAGCTCAGTACCAGTGTACCATGAGCTTTGAAAAGTATTTCTGATAAAACTCATCCCTTGTCCCATTCACCAGCTCTTCTTCCTCTCATGATGCTTATATTACTCAGAGAGCAAATGTAACCTCTCCATTATCAGCTCTACTCTACTAAGAATCACTGAAATCACAGATTACCTTTGAGCTGATTTAAAGCAATACCCTCCTTTTTATCTCTATAGATGTGGAAAAGATTTTCAAGAATCTACCAATCTTCTGAAGACACAAGGTGAGTTTAATGGAAAGAACCTCTTTGAATTCAGTATCATGCTAGAGAGTTTACTCATGATTTAAGTAAAAGGAGAATTGAAGGTTATGTAACTCTAAGCCTCTAAGCCTCTAAGTTTCTTCTGGGACTTGCTAATTTCTTATACCTCTATCTCATCTTTGTTCTACAGTTTGTCTTCCTACCCTGTCCAGTTGTCTTAGCTATAAAATACCAAACATACTTAGTACACTAAATGTTTCTCCATTTGTTTTCATGGGTGAGCTTCAAATCCTGGACTCAGTTTGGGTGGACTTGGACTTCCATAATATCACCAACATGGAAGTTTCCCTGCAATTACAGCACTTAAGGTGGCTTTTGTATAAATTTTGGCTTATTTGCGAAACCCTAGGATCTAAAAACACTGACTAAAGTTCAGCCCACAAGCTAAGTATATATTCCCATTGGTAGACATTAAAATTCAATCTTCATTTTTACTAAATCCACTAGGATCCGCCTTATGTTAAACAACTTCATATCAAATGTAACTAAGACCAGAACTTCTGTATACTTTAGTTGGCAGTTAGATTATCTTGTTTAGCTCTCATTCCACATTACCTTTATTTTAAAAGTTAATTAATGGCACTTTGAAATTTTGGATTTTTTTCTTATCACATATTTGGAATGTGTTTTACTTGGTCATCCCTTATACATACTTTAACATACTTGCTTTAAGTGGTGTTCTTATGCAGTTTAGGTCCTTGCCGTAAGAAATCAGAATGCTGGAAAGAAAACAATCAAGTCATCAAATAAGCTCAAATTCAGACATGGAAGAAATGGACCAATTTAGTATTGTTTTCAGTTTTGGGGCCATATTCTGGATAAACTGAAAAGGAAGGTACAGTGACTGGTACAAGTTGAAGTACATGCTTCCAGAACAAAGCGAACAACCCATTCTTATCTCTAATAAATTTTCAGAACAAAAAGAGGACGGAAAGGTTCACTCAGAGTTTCAGTGCTGGGCTGGAGACGATTCCTGGTTGAGGATTTATAGTATTTCTGATTATTTGATCCATGGCTGAGATAAGTGTCCACAAAGAAAATGATACAAAGAAGGGAAGCTTGTAGTATAAAAACTTGTTTTCCTTCCTGGATTAAAGAAAAAAGTCTAAGCTATTATATAAATTACAGACCTAACAAGGAAAGAAGGGCAAATGGAAAGAAGAGAATGTGAAATTAAATCTTAGACTGTTTCCACTAAATATGAAGTTACTTCAAAAAAATTAAATTCTTACAGCAGTGACAAGAATTTTACAGGTCTCTTATGGGATATAAGACAGTTTTTCTAGATTAATTTCTGGAGATTAAGTGCTTTAACTTGTACATTACTAACTTACAAACATTTATCATAACCACAAACTAGCCCAAGTAATAGTATTTCAGTTTTCCCAACAAGGGAAAGAAAATGGATGTAATACCCTTGCTGAAGGCACCAATTAGTACACAAGGCTGGAATATAATTTATTTTTTGACTTTCTATAATTTATCAAATTACCTTATTATAATTATCAAATTACTTCATTATTTAAAAAATTACCTTATTATTGATATAATAAATTTTTGTTTGTTGGTTAAAGGTGTCCTGAAAAAATTCTATTCTATTGTTTCCTTGGCTTTCATTGATGTTTTGGGGGGCAGTTTTCTTTTGTTATAAATCTAAGTTATATTTTGAGTCTCTAGGAAGAGAAGAGACAGAGACACACATAGGGACAGAGCCAGAGGTCTGCTTATTGAAACAGAAAATGAACAGCAGACCAGAGGAAAGGAAAGTACTGTAGCTTCAGAGTTTTACTCAACTATGGTAACATTAAACTGCCAGAAATTAATCCCTTAAATAAAAGCATGTTCAGAGCACTGAAGAGCATAGAGTTACCCTTCTTTGTGTTCCTAGAGCAGGTCTGTTACAAAAACCTCAGGCATTCAAATGCACAAAAATCTTTAAGAATAAATATAAATTCTTGTGCCTCTTTCTACCTGACCTAGTCAGCTCTCATAGCTCAAGAAAAAAGAATTCAAACCTCAGGAACGTATTTACATAGTATCATGGCTTATTATAAGTCTCTTTTTGCATTCAGCAAGTCAAGATATTAATGCTCCTACTTAAAGAGTGGAAGGGTGGAAGAAAGGAAAACTATAAAAATAGAAGGGTGAGACCCTTCTGAGCTGAGACCCCAGCCTCACTAGCCATTCCTCTAGACATTTTTGTGAACCTCATTCATGCTTGAATTGGTTTGGATCTTTTTCATAGAATGCTTTTTGAAACCTCCAGGATATGTGGGGATAATTTGTGAATCTATTCATTTTGACTTGGTGTGAGCTCAGTGGCATGTATATAAGCCCCCAGAAGCTCAAAGTAAAAAGAAAAAAAAATTCAAGGAAATGAAAAAAATTGCCTAGAAATCAAAGACTTAACAAAGTCTTTTCCTAGCTCTTTGTTTTGTTATGTAGTACATCTTTGCACTTTGGGTGAGTTGCAACACATGGAAACTGACAAAATACTCAAGTGGTCTGTGTCCACGAGTAAGTCTTCTCTTTGTGGCCCCAGAGTCAACGGGGGGGCAGGAGTCACTGACTCCTTCTCTGTGTGGGGTGTACCCGATGTGCTGGGTAGTTCAGAGAGGAAAAAAATAGAAAAAGCTACTAATAACTGCAGTGCTTAATAATGTGGGGTCTCTTTTGATCACCTTCATGGAAAAGTTAGGTTTTAACCCCTGAGTTAAAATAAGCATCTCAATGTGAAGTTATTTAAAGATAAATTGTCCAAACTTGGCTGTGATTCCTTAGAGTTTCTTGTTTGGATTTAATCCATCAGTTCTGATTGACCATGCACAAGGTACCCAATTGGCCCACTTCTTCCTTCTTTCCTGTATCATAAAGTCCTCTCCTGCTCCTCCTGGACAGTAATCAGTGATTGCTCTGGATTGAGGGAGGAAGAAGACAGGCTGACTGAGACAGCTGGTGGGAAAGAGTCCTCCAAGGACTCTCTTCACCAGATTTTTGGAATATATTAACCTCAAGCCTTGGAAGGTCTCAAAACATAACAGGTGAGACACTGATTAACAAAAGTAGCAGCAAAATTTCCTTAACCTTCCATTTTTACAAAATCTTTGCAAGGTAGGAAATTCTGCTTCTCTTCTGCTGTACATTCATTCTCTTAACATACAATCTGTGATAACCAGGCTAAGAAATGATTCCCTTAACTTGTCCCTAGTTCTAGCCACTGAAGAAATACTGTGCCCAAAAAATGAAATGGGTGTAATAAAAAAATAGAATCTCTTTTAAAAAATCAAAATCATGTTAAAATTTTGTCCTCCTATGCCAAGTGAGACCTAATTTCTCTGTAGGGAGATTTTACAGAAAGTGTGGACAGTTCGTGGACACCTTAAATCTTATTTCAACTCATCTTGTGAAGACCATCTGGCACATTCCAGGCCATATTTCATAGAATGCAGCATTTACTAATAGCAGAGAATATGGGAAAAATAGGCAGGCCAGCAAGTAAGCTTGGGTTGGGTGAATTAAACTGTCTGGGGAGTTGGGTCTGTGCTAGCATGCAGCAGAACAAAGGCTGGGATACGAGATTTGAGGGCACTCTAGGTCATCTTGTAGGTTGTAGGGGACAGGTGGGGGTGGATGTGTGCAGGAGAGACACTGGCTAAGTGGTAGAATATGAGGTCTTCTGTTTGTAGCCTCAGAGGCAAGGGAAGGTGAAATCCAGAACATTTGGAATCATCTTCCAGACAATATTTTGGTGCTTTCAGTACTGTATGGGATCGTGAATAGTATGAAGACTGGCACTGAAATAGATTTCTCAGCTGGAAAAAAGGCACAGCCTTCTGTTACACAAGTGTTTTCATGGCTCATATGGAGCCCACAGGATGCTAGAGGCTGCATTGACCTTGGATCCCAATGCACCTTGGCCAAACCCCCTCCTCCCACGTGTGCTGGCATAGTCTTTCTGCTTTCCCACCCTGTCTGTCTAGATTCTTGGATGAAGAGAGGGATACTGAACACAAACTAGCCATGACATCTTCCTGTCTTGGCATCTCTACCTTCAGTGTCTTTTTTCCTTTTGACTCTTGTTCACTTTCCCTTGTTTTGAGGAGTTGAAAACTAATGTTAACAAGGGAGACTGGACATCTGACTAAAGAATGTTCTTGGGGGCCTGTAGTGCTCAATTTTATCATGCATATGTCACAAGATACAGTTGTAATTCTTACTGCAAAGAGAATAATGACTTTTGAGATCTAAACAAGGGCGTCTTTTCAAGGGAAAGAGATACAACCTCATATTGATGAAAGGAAGTCCCGATGGGCTTCAAAGGGGAAAGTTGATATTCACGTTTGTTTATTCCAAGACAGTAGGAAACCAAAGATGATTAGGATAAGTTTGTGTCTTAACAGAAAATTCTTTTATTTTCTTAATAGAAAGGTAGGTGCAAGCTAAGAGAAAAGAAACCCAATTTCTTAATCAAGGGAAGTTGAATAGAAATAGGTTCATAATTTCATTAACACTAGAAAAACCAGGTGGTTGCATCTGCAGCATGTTACAATGCTTTATTCAGGACTCAAGTGTTTGTGTGTTCAAGGAGTTCAGATATGCAAGGAGGCTTCCTGGCACAGTAAATTTGGTATTCAGACTATTGGTGTAGGCAAATTCCATTTTTGATAATGGTTCTGCCAGCCCACATTTCTCCTATTGTTGAAAGGGCATAAAATACTGAAATTCACTTTCTCCAAATACTATCTAACAGCCTCACTGGCTCAGCATAGTCACTATGTTGTGGGCCTTTCCCTAAGGAAAGTTCTGTGTCCAAGGTGGAGGAAAGCAAATCTGTGCACACAAAGCAGGCCATAGCAGCACTTTGGCATGAAATCAGACTGAGCAGAAAAAAACCTTTAAAACAATGCCAGGCCCAGCATCGGAGTCTTATGTAATGATCATGCTTGTAAGGATCATTTCTAGTTGATCTCAAGCACACATGTGCTGTGTGGGTGAGGAAAATGAAGACAGAAGAGGGACTGAGAGAAGGAGACCTGTGTCTGCCACTCTGGCCTCCTGTCCTGGGATTACTTTGGTTTGGGGCTGACCATGGGTCATGAAACTCCATCAACATCTAGAAGAGAAGGCAGTCCATGACAGATGGTTCTCCAGCCACACGGTTGAATTAGGCTTTTCAGAGCTGAGGCAGATATGCCATATTTCTATTTTAATAGGGGTTGAGGGGATGACAAAAAAAAAGAAAACCAACTTCATAGAAAAGAGAAGTACCTTCTAAGAAAAAGAACTGCTCCTATCCAAGAGTTTCAGAGGACTCTGAGCTGGAGGAGGATAAAAGGAGCATCTATCTGCTGAGCTCTCAGTGCAGGGTCCTCAGGTCATCCTCTGCCAAGGTCTTGTTTGGCAGGCTGGGGAAAGAGGACCCTGCCTGACACCCCATTCCAGGGCATCCACTTGTGTACTGTGATGGTACTAGGGAGAGGCTGAGGGCCATCTGCATTGCCACCAGACACAGATGGTGACATGTCCCACAGAATGGGACCATCCACTGGATAGTGAAGCAGCACTAACTGACCAAGCAAAGGCTCTCTGATTCTTAGCACTGCTCTGCTTGGCCTGAGGCTGTCTTATGCCCAGATTTTACTCTGGGGAGGGGTGAAGCCCAGTCCTGGCCCAGGGGACATTCAGGACAAGTACACCCCATTGGAGCCCACTTTGCTAGAAGGAGCAGCCCAGGTTGAGGCTGAGGTATGTTTACTAATATCTTAAAGCATCCTGTCAACGGATCCTCAACCCCGAACCAGTTGCAGACACTGCAGACCCGTCATGGGGCCTCTACCATGGGAAGTGCTCAGTCAGCTCAGACACCCTCACTGAACTGTCTGTCAGCCTTTCCCATCTTTGTAGGAGTTTGGCCATTGAGCATGGCCTCCTAAAATCCACATGCTCTGTTCTCTCATGGGAGTGGCAGGAAAGTCTGGTCTCTGGCATGTGGCTTCACTGAGCCAAGCTCAGCACTCGCTCGGCTGCTGCACAGGGGCCCTTCTGCCTCCAGCCCAGAGTATGGCTGACATGAGCTAGAATGTGCTGGTACCAACACTGAGTTACTTCTATGCTGGGTGGAAAGTGGATTCTACCATGAGTTCTTTAGATTACCTCTACTCTTGGGGTTTCCCCATGACCAGCATCTAAACGGTCAATGCTGGAACAGCATAGGCCTCCTATACTATGTCGGAACTCTATGTAGGATGGTGCCCTGGCCAGAGGTGTTGGCTGATCTTACCTGAACCACAGGCACCTCTGTGGGCCCTGGCGACTGCCTTTACTCATCCTAACTACTGTAGTATCTACTATGAGGGTGCAGGACCTGGCACTGTACCACCAGCACTGCCTATTCTGTTTCTTTGGCCCTCACCTCCATGGTACGGCTGCTAGGCTATGGCTTTTCTCACTCAGACCAGCCCTTGCTGCTGCGGCCACAGCATCTTGACTCCTTCTGCTTCAGCCCTTTCTTGCCTCCCTGCCTCCCACCCTTGGTGCCCAACACTCCTGACTTTGCTTGTGCTTCTCTGGGGGCAGCAAGCCACAGGATAACACATGAGATGCTACTGCGTTCGCCCTGATGGCAGTGTGCCGGCTGAGCTTGGGAGAGAGCCGGTGGGGAGGAGATTGCTCTCCAATAGTCAGTCTCCACTGTTCCCCAGGTAAAAGCCAGAACATCCTCCAGGCTGCTCAAGGCAATGAGTACAGACACAGGCCAGCCAGATCCCTCCACAGGTTATAGAAAAGTGGCAAGGGGTAAGGGAAGGCAAGCCACCCTCGTGTCCCTTCTCCCATGGGAATAACCCTCCAGATTTCTGTGTTTTCTTTCCCCAGCAAAGAGGCAGAACTATGGCAGTGCCTGTCTTGCAAAGGGAAATAAAGCAGTTTGGTGGGTGTGACTGGTTTTCCATTTGTCCTTGGCTTCCTCTTCTCTGATAATGCACGGAGTTTTTCTATCCTCCTCCTCCCTCTTCCTCCCTCCCCGGGCCGCACTGGCTTCCCAATTCGGTCTTGGTTTTCTCCCACTGAGAGAAGAGCATGCATCGGAGGGGGGAGCAGCCTCTAGCACTTGTCGTCTTCTTCTGTGTCACTCAGAAGGTCGCTGACAGCTCCACACATCATGCCGGGCCCAGGCCCCCCACGCCTCCGTCGCCGATAGTGCCCATTGGGCATCTGCCAGCTGTGCCGCAGGGGTGGGGCTGAGCCGATGGTGTTGGACCGGCCCAGGCTTGTTGCTACAGCCGCTTCGAAGGTGAGTGTCTCCTCCTCACCACAGTCCGAGGCGTGGGAGTCTTCATGCAAGGCCAGGTAGGGCTCGGAAATGTAGCGCTGTGGGGAAGAGTGCTGGCCCTGATGCGGGTGAGGGGAATTGGAAGACTCGGTCAGGCAAGCATTGTTGCTCTCTAGTGCTTGGGAGGTCAGAGGGGATCCACCCTCACTTCCATCAGCTGGTGGAGAGATGCTGCCAGCATGTCGCATCAGGGAACTGTAGGAAAGGAGGGGCCGAGGCTTTGGTGGGACAGGTGGGAGCTGCCGCCGACTTCTTCTTGGGGTGCTGGTGTCAGAAACGGAGGGGATGGAGCTTTCACTCAGGGAACCTGCTCCCTGCATGGCAGGAGAAACATGGAGTGTGAGCCTGTTCTTGCATGAGTCCCACTTGGGGCTTGTTATGACACCTGATCCCTTCCATAGGGGGGCCCTGGAGTCCTGGAGAGGGAGCCCCATATACTAGTCACATCCCCCTGGGAGAAGGGGTCTAAGGAGACTAAGGAGTCACGCTCTCCACATGTAGAAGCATCTCTGTGGCTGATGAAGGTCTGGAGGAAGCACTGAGGTTTCACCTCCCTCATGAGATACTAGCTGTTGCTTTGGCTCCTTGGGACAAACGATTTGGAAGCTATATGTCCAAAGTAAGTGGTATAGAGAAACAAAGACATTAAACTTTTGCAGGAGACAACCCTATGAACGCGGAGCATTATTAAAGCTCCAGAGTTGCTCTATCTGGGAATTTGTGGGAAGAAGGTTCTAAGGGAACTATATCATCTTTCCTTAACCTTTATTTTTGCTTCTGTCTTCAGTGGCTTTCTGATGTAAGCCGAAATCCCCAACACTTATTTGTTGGCTCAGGCCTCATTTGACCTGCTCACCTAGTTGTAAGGGTATCTGGTCCATTTACCTAGGTTGGTAAATGGACTCCAGGATAATGCTTTTTAGGGTGTGTGTGACCTGTGGACTACTTGCTTAAAACTTCCTAGGTGGGGATTTCAATGCAGATTTCTGGGTCTCACTTTTAGCTAAAATCCTTGAGGTTCTAGGAATGTAGTGATAGAAAGCTCTGTAGGCAATTCTGTTCTGCAGTAATGGCTGGCCTAAAAGGTAAATTTCTCTACTATTTACTTATCTAAAATCTGTCCTTGCCACCCCTTCTTTTCCCAGATGACCATTCCTGCTCAATGGGTCTCCCCATCTGAGCCAGAGCCCTGACTAGGACTAGAAGTGAGTGGTAACACTGGGCTGAGGAACATTTTCATAAGGCTGATATTTCTTAGGCATTGGCTGGGGTTTCAGCAAAATGCTGGAAGGAGGACTAGGTACAACAGCACATGCCTATATGCCAAAGCACGAGGATTACAGGAGACACATGGTGCTTCTCTTGGGATGGCTGGACAGCAGGTAAACCAAGTGAAATTGATCTGACTTGTGAATCATCATCTTCATTAATACTAAGGATCACAGGAGACAAAGCTTTCTGGCTAAAGCTTACCTACCAATTCTGGATGGATTTGTACCACTGAAACATGAGGACTGGAATGGAATGACCTCAGGACTTGATCACATTTGTTTGGGGGAAAATCTTGGTTTCTATGAATTCACATCTCTTCTGAATTTGTAAGCACAGAGCAGTTAACCTCTACGCCCACTGGGTTGATGTACTATGGATCTTTGTGGGTGTTGAAACAACCTGCAAGATGCCTATGTTCTGCTGCCCGTGTCTCAGTCCTCTCCTTTCTGTCCTATCGGAGGCTCAACCTCCTCATCATGCTCACCTGTCTGTTGGGTGTCTGTGATCTGCCTTCACTGGGTGACCTGGACTGATGGCGCTCTGGGGAGTCCCAATCAGCCTGAGTCCCTCGCTCCTCAGAATTGCAACGGGAGACATCAGGAGAGAGAAGATGCTTTCGCTCTTTGGATCGTCCTCGCTCCCTGCCCCCTGAGCGATGGGTGTCAGACTTGTGGCCTGTGGAGATGACAAAAACAACTAGTTATGCTCAGCTACCTCAAGATGCTGAAACTAAACTCACCGGGTGAGGCATGCCAACCTGGGATTGGGCCCCCTTATGATCTGTATGTGTTCTACAAAATTCAGTGTAGAACCCTAATTCTCATTCAAATGGTGATAGGAGATGAGGCCTCCCAGAGACATTAAGTCACGTGGGTGGAGTCCTTATGATGAGATAAATGCCCAGACAAGAGCTGGCTTCACTTCTGCTCTCCATCATGAGGGGACACCCTGAAAAGATGGTTATCTGCCCACAAGGAAGAGGGACCTCACCAGACACCGTATCTGTTGTTACCTTGACCTTTGATATTCTGGCTTCCAGAACTGTGGCAAATAAATGTTTGTTATTTAAGCCACTTAGTTTGTGGTATCTTTGCAGTAGCCTGAACTAAGACAAGTCCCTAAAGAATCTTGACTTCTCCAGGTTGAAACAGACTAATGTTTTTTTAACCTTTTTAAAACTTTGTATTACTATAACTCTTTTTTCTTAGAAAAAATATTTAACAAATATATAATATATATAACACAAATTATGTATATATATATATATATATATATATATATATATATATATATAAAATAATTCCAGGAAAAATACTATTTGGGTTGAAGGGTAGTTGACGGCAGCTCAGTTCCCCACCCCAAAGGGACCTCTAAAACATTCCTGTGAAATCTCAAAGGTTTTGCAGAAGACTACTTGAAAACCTCAATTCTCAATTGATTATATCAGTTCTATACTCCAGAAGGAAGGAATTACGTTGCATTTATAATGAATACTGGTTCTTGATCTTTCATAAGATATTAGCCTAATATGGGAAACTGCTATGGTAAAAAGCATTCTTTGCTCACTTTCTTAAACCCTTGCCTGTATTTATCTAGCTTCTGTTGCAGTCATCTTCAGTCTCTGCCAGAACAAGCCCATTGGGGTAGGAGTCCACTGCCCAGCCAGCTGGCTGCACTGCGGTAGCCCCTGGAGACCACCTCACCTGAGTCCGAGTTCAGGCGGTGGGCTGACAGCCGCAGAGAGGAGTGGTAACTACGGCGTCGAGACTTGTAGGTATTTTCACTGCTTCGCTCCATGGAGAATTCCTCCAGCCACGAGGAATTTGAACGTTTATCCCGAATGGTAGAAAATGAACGTCTCATGGAGCTAGGATCTGTCACCACCTGGAAATATGAGTCCCAGAGGAATACAGGTTCTGGATTAATTATTTCTCAAAGTGCTGAGGTGGGACTAAGACTTCTGAGAACTGCAAATTGGAACACTGGGAAGTAGTAACCACTCTTGAATTCCTGTGCTCAAACCTTAGCTAGAGAAGCTGATCTAGAAAGTTTCCTCATATTATGCTAACATAGACCCTGAAACTGGTCTAGCGTCTTCTCTTTGTGCTTAAGAATGCAAAGATCTGAGTGTCCTGGGGCAAAGCCCAGCAGAACGCAGGCAGGCATTGCGCAAATGTCCACAGAGCCATCTACCACAGGGGCTCAGTCAGGACTTGTTGCAAGTAGTGAGCCATTTGGAAAGATTTGAGGGCAGTTATTAAAAAGCGTACACTGTGAAAGAAGCATAGCTTTGCCTTTAATGTTTTCCCCCCTCACCTATGAAGTCCTGCCTACCAATGCTACGGTCTAGGAGAGCTTGCAGTTTAACAACCACATTGCTCTCCTTTACTAGCGCTCTTCCCCTGCTCCACCTTAAATTCTGGCATTTTGATTTGCCACAGATGTTAAAACAGATTGACAAAAACTTCTTGTCTCTGTCAAAACCTGATGTAAGACAGACAGACAAAAAGAAGCCAGGAAAACAGACAAAGAAATGAGGCGTGGCCTGCACTGGTTAAGACAGTCCTGACATAGAGCTGTGTGTATATATACATAACTGCATAAATGCTAGAGGAGCCAGAAAAGAAGAAGAAGATAGGAAAATACGCAGAAAATCCTGGATAATATTCTTTGTTTGGCTGGTTCAGTCTTGAGAATGCTTATCCCTGCAAGAGGGAGTTATGGCATGGTGCTGATTTAACCTCCTGAGGTCAAGGATTCACTGAAAATACACAATAGAGGAATGTACACTAACACAGAAGGCCCACAAGCCAGGTTTTGTTTATAGTGAAAGAGTGAGGGCAAGTCCAGTGCTCACCTGAAAATATCGAGTAACCCATCTACAAAAGCCCAGGATGCCACTGCATAAGGTAAGTGGTGGTTGCTTTTTACCTGGGGATCCATAGTCAGACGTGGCATAGAGGATGCCCTCCCAGATCCCGCATGCTCCTGGGTATCCGAAGGAAGGTAGATGCCATGGTTAGAGGACTGCACGCTTTTTAATTCACTAACCTCTGGCTCCTGGAAATAAACACACAGCCAAGCTTGTGGAACTTGGTTCCATCTCATTGTTTCTCACCTCTAGTGGAGGATTTTGCCTCCTCAGGAATGGCTCTCAGAAGGGCCACTGGCATCTTCAAGGTCTCAAGTATGTGTGTATATAGTATAAGTTTATGAATACATGTGTGGTATACTAGATATCCCATATAGAAAGCTCTATCTGGGACTGAGACGTCAAGGGCACCTTTTTTATTACAAAGCATTGCTTCAGATATTATAGCTTTGTGAATATTGTAGATGTGAGGTTTACCTTGTGAGAGATCTTAATGTTGGGTTTGTTATTTTAAGCTGAGGAAGGTTTTTATCTATTAAATAGGAACCAAGATTATAAAGGAAGTCACTTATTATGTGATACCAAATTTATCTTCTCAAACTTTAAAATGCATGACTTTATTAGGTAAGAGTTTTTTAATTATTGAAATCATCCAAAAATGTGGTGGGTGGCCATCTGTCAGAATATTCCAGACTTGCAGAGTCCAATAGAAACATAATGCAAACCACTTACATAATTTAAAATTTCTAGTAGGTACATTTTAATAACATATTTTAACCCAATCTATCTAAATATTATCACAATAAATATAAAAATTTATAAGATATTTTACGCTTTATTGGAATTTATCACATCTCGAGTGCTAAAAGGCCAGTAATGTCTACTATATTGGACAGTGTCCCTGATAGAAGACTGCACAGGAAACTAAATTTCCACCAAACTCTTTTGTTATTTTCCGTGATAAAGAATGTCAGTTTGGAAGTTGTACATACTCTACAAAGACGGTTAGTGCCACCGCTTAAATAATAGAGCTGACTTGGAGATTTGGACATGGGCCACCCAACAAAGAAGTTTAACAATACCTTGGGTACCTAGAGATTGTACTAGAAAACAGTCATTTTCTATTTAGGAAATGATATCTTAGAGATGGATGTATGAGTAGGGCATTACCCAAAGGAAATGTTGTCTGAGACAACCCACCCCACCTTCGTGATCCTTTAGCTGTGTGGCTCTGATGTGAATGAGAAGAGAGCCTTCCCCAGATGTGACATGGGTGCTTGAGGGAGTGACAGTGCTTGCAGTCAATGCTTTATGTGGCACACAGTTCTGACTCCAAACAGACAAAGTAACAACACTGTAGTCTACGGGTGTCAAAGGTGGTGCAAGACACACACTCCATATGCACACACACAAATTGTGGCCACGCCTCAAGATGTGAAGCAGGGACCCTGAGGGACCTGGAGAAGTACACAGTGGTGAGTGTGTAGCATGGCTGACACCTGAACTAAATTACAGACACCAGCACTGACAACGAAATGAACACATATTGAAAAAATCCTGGCACTAGAGCTCAGCTTTGGGGAACCTGCAGAAATGATGAGGTAATAAAAGTCTCCCTGGAGGAAAAAAAGAACATATTATTGAGTTTTTTTTTTTTCCTCAACAGACACATCACCGAGCAAACAAGCTGTAAAATTCAGAGAAGCCCTTTTAAGAATTAAACTATCTGTCGCTATTGGTCCCTAGACATTGGTGCTAACTTCCTCAGATGGGAAGACAGGGAATTACTCCAAGAAATCCTACCCACCTCACCAAGAACATCCTCAGGCAATGTCTTATGCACCAGCAGGATCTGGCTTAGCTTCCTCCCCAACAAAATCATTCATGCTTCCCTGCCTCAGCAGTCATAGGAGACACAATACCCATTTGAGCTATGCAAGTGTTTTTTCTCTCGCAGGGGTACCCATTCCATCACACAGGCTCTATCAAAGCAGGCCATACTCACTGTACAATATCCATTGGAATGGCTCTAGGATATATAGTAGCAGTGGGAGGGACCAAGAGGGAAATGAAGGGGACAGAAAAACCACAGATGAATTGAAGTGATATGGGGCTAGCCATCTGTACAGCTATCTTTTGCAAAGGTTGAGTTTTGTCTTGTTTGGTTTTTTTTTTTTTTTTTTGGTTTTGGTTTGTTTTTTTCCTGGTCTAATTAAGTTTGAGAGGGAATTGAACTCAGGGGCTCCTGACCTACAAATTATGGTAAAGTAGATTAGCTTTAGGAATCACATGTTTAGTTTTGTATTAGCAAAACTAAAACTTTGATCTTTCCTCTTCTTTTCAAGTTTTAACTTGACTGTATAGATATCTCAGCAATTTCACCACCTATGCTAATTAAAAAAAAAACTCATTTTGGCTCAGGACATGACTTTAAGGACCTGCTACAGTGTATCTGAACTTGTAGAATTTTGCCTGAATCTACACAGAGCAGAGGTAGTAGTCTTCTGAACCTGCTAGCAGCCAGTTAGTCACTGTAGCAGATGCTGCCACTACGTGCTAGAAGGGGCAGGCTTCACTCAGGGCAGGCTGGAGCTATCCAGCATCCCCACAGGCAGCCCCTGGTATACTATGCTACATGGTTGATGCCACTCATTCTATGAGAATTTATCTTACAGCTTCCTGTCAAAGGAAAGATTTTATATGTGGCTTCTGCTCCTGCATTTGATGCCCAAGAACATAAACTATAAGGGCATGGCTTGAAGAAACGTAAGTAATGCAGAAGGGAAGTGGTCCTGGTCAGTAGAATAAACATTCTCAGAGAACATGAGAAAGTGGCCTAGGAAAAGGGTGAAGACAGACAATTTCTAGGGTAAGTGGTGTAAAAGCTTTTCCTGATCAATGATGGCTATGAAATCAAATTTGAAACTAAGAATGAGAGGAATCAGGAAACCAAGGAAGTATTGTTTTTTAGACCATATAACTCATCCATTCACCAGAGATTGCTGTTCCTGGAATTGTCCATCATCAGCTGGGTCCATACAAGCCAACTGGAATATTTCCTGAGGGGAGAGTGGACTCATGGAAGGGTATCCACTCCGGCCGCTCCTGAAAAGCAATGTCAAATTCAGAGGTAATGAGAGTTTCAGGGAGAAATAGTCATGTCAGAGCTGCCTCTAACCATTCCCATTCCAAGCAAGACCTCCATCCCAGCAAGGGCAGCACCCTTCACCCTCAGTTGGCTGACAAGTGGCTGACCCTAAATAGAAGCTTTAAAAGTATTGAGAAACTGGTGTTTCCAACTTGCATTTGCAGTCATTCATCATTCTGTTGGTGACTAGCATATCTGTGACAAGTGACATCATTTGTCATATTCATCCACTGGGAATACCAAAGCTAGATTATAAACCTGTTTTTGCTGTTTATGCCAGGACCTAAAACTGCCATCATATAAACAATGATAAGCTTGTTTTAACTACTAAGCAGTATTGGTCTTTAAAAATCTTTTCCACACTCTGAATAACATGGTCAACATCCCTCGTCAAACTAAACTCAACCCAATTCAATTCCATGACATTTACTGAAGAACTCTGTGTAGGGCATTGTGTCTTTTGGCCTGTGACCTGGGGAATGATTTTAGAGGTGATGTCGAGGAGATACAAATCTCTGGGTTAATGACTATATTGGAGGAAATTTTAAATAGTGATGAGGTAATAAGACCCAAACAAAGTCTGCCAAATGTTTAGAGGGCTCAAAATGGAGAGCTGTTACAGTATGGTATCTTTAAGCCATACTGTTTGGTACTTTCCAATACTCTTAGATGATTAGATCTGCTAGACTTGTTGGAAGAAAAAGAGGCCTGACCTTTCCTAAGAATTTGGCACATGTTAGCATTACTGCCATCAGTATAGTAACAGCCACCATGTGTCTGATCAAGAATGCAGAATTAGCTCTTAAACCATGCAAAGAGTGTCACAGAGTAAGGTCTAGGAAGCAGCTCTATCAAAGGTGGCATATCTAGGAAGAGATGTGACACAGTTTCTCCCTTTGTCAGCCTAAAGAGAGTCATTCCATGGTGGAGTCAGTTCTAAGCGTGACTGCATCCAATAGAAAATTGAGGACATGAACAAGGCTTGCCAGTTACTTAAAAAATAATCCATAGGTGCAGTCTTACTAGATTAATGTCACAGGGCAAGATGCAAGTACCAGACAATTACCCAATCTGTCTCTTTGCTGCCTGTGATGGTTTCAGTTGAATCGCACAACTGCTACAGAGTCATCTGATACTGTAGTGAATGTTTCAATGTCAGCTCATCCTTGAAGTACCCTGTCCTAAAACCAGCTGGATGAGTGCTGCAAGTACAATAAAAGAAATGAGTCGCCCTTTCTCCTGTGGAGAACAGCTGTGGAGTCTTTAATAGGTGGAAAAGACCCACTATGATTTGAACATGTTCCCTAAAAGTTCATATAGGGCCTGTATGATTTGATAAAGTCCTGAGGGCAAGACATAATGATAGTAGTGACTATATAAGAAGAGGGAGAGAGACCTACGTAAGCAAGCTTGCTGTCTCACTGAGCAATGCCCTGCACCACAAGATGATCCAGCAAGAAGTCCCTATCAGGGTCTTGGATTTTGCAGCCTCCAGAAATGATAGTCAAATCACATTCTATTTTTAATAAACAACCCAGTTTCAGATATTTTGTTATAGCAACACAAAACAGACTGATAAAACTCTTAGAATCACTGAACAACTTCAAAGAGTTGAAATAATTTGAATCCAGAGTGATATCCTGTTTTAAAAACCTTGACAGGATTTTATCGTTTTTAGGATAAAGTCCAGAATCCAGCACATGGTCTCTCGCATCATCTAACCCCTGTCTCACCAGCTTCTCAGCTTCACTTTACCTTTTGCTCCCAGAATTCCACATACTCAACTTTTTTAGTTTCTTAAATATGCCAGGCTTTTTCTTTGTGGTCAAAAGTTCAATACAGGCTTTTTCAGAGAGCAGGACACTTCTCTCCAACTCCCCTGCCCTCTGTAAGTACTTTTCATGTAATTTTAAATTTTTTACCAAAAGTCACTTTCTTAGGAAATCTCTCGCTCCCACAACTGGACAGATTTCTCTCTTACTACCATTCATATCATGGTATATTTTTCCTAGAATTTATCATAATTAAATCACTAAATGACAAATTGCCTTCTTTCCTGTAGCTCTCCTGTTTTAATGTCTGGTTTGGACCTAGGTAGGTGCATGCTCACTGAGGGCGACTCTGCCTGCTATGCTCACTGTGGCAGCCTAGAGTAATCTCTATTGAAGCATACATGGTTCTAGCCACACAGATAGTCCCGAGAAACCAGCCTGCTGTTCCACCAGTGTCCACCCCTAAATTAAAGCTGCGACATGAGGGTCACCTCTGCTTCTTCCTTCCTCCTCACTCCATGTAGGCAACCAGTCACCAGATTCAATTCATATCTTTTCTGCCTGGCTCTTCTCATCCTGTTACTCCAGGACACTGTCATTGATCATTTCCACAACTGCAGTGACATGGTAAACAGTGTTCTTGTCCCTAGAATTGTTCCCCCACAATTCATTAAGTCTACACTGAATTCATGAATGGATTTTGAAAACCAAAATCTGATATGTTACTCTGAAACATAAAACCCAGTTATCCTAAGATAAAATCTAACTTCTTTATCTTGCTTTCGGTGCCATTCTAAGTCCCAGCCCATGTAGCTCTCTCCAAAGGCATCTCTTGAACTCTCCTGCTACAAATATCCTACACATTTTTAAGTTCCTAAAACTTACCATACTCAGTGATCTCTAAGAGCTCGCCTTCGAGGCTCACTTGCATGTTATTTTCTTGGTGCTACTCCTCAAACCCTAAAACTAGGTGAGGGACTTCCATTACAGGGGACCCCCATAGCCTACCCTTTCACATTTTAATCCATGCTGCTCTTGCAAGTTCTGTGTCCAGATTTGTCTCAGTGAGGACTGTCTGTAATCATGTCTACTGATGTACCCACAGTGCCCAAGGCAGTGCATAGGCCATGTGAGTCATACTGGTAAAATCAATGAATAAATGAACTGGTAAACATGGAAGAGAAGCTCAAATGACTCCATGGTATGAGCCGATTTAGATGGCAAGTTCCAAGTCTGCTTTCTACTAGCTATCTGGCTTTGAGCAGCTTTTTCAACCTCCCAGTTTCCATTTCTTCATTTGTAAAAATGGTGATATTTATATACCTCCAGGGTATAGTGGCCTCTGTAATAAGAATGAAGTGAAATCAGGTAAATGGTATCGCTACAAGTATAACCCTTAGGGAAAGAATTCAGTAGTTGCTTGTCATGGTTTATGTGTGTGTCCCCCAGGCCTCATGAGTTTGCATTGTTCATATGTGATGGTTCATTGTCTAGTGCTTGGATTGATGGTGTCAGTGCTCCACCCACGTAGGGGTGGAGCCAGGATGTGATGTAATGGCAGGAAGAAGGTGTGTCTTCCGCTGTGGGCGGCCGCCATGAACTGTGGTCCAGCCATGCCTGCCTGTCTTGGAGCCAACTGAGTGTGGACTGAAACCTCCAAAAACTGTAAGAAATAAACCTTTCCTTTCCCCCGTTTGGACTTCAGGTATTTTGTCTCAGCAATGAGCATAAAGTAACTAAGACACTGCTGATTCTTTCCCCTTTCGCACTTAGCAATCATGACACCCGTGAAGGAATTGACACCTTTCAGCAGAACACTAGGCCTACTGGGAAGTGAGAACCACGAATCTGGGAAGTGATCATTCTTCAAAAGAGAACTACAATGGAGATGCTAGTACATTAAAACAAAAGGCAAGGGGCTGAGGATTTAGCTCAGCGGCATAAGCACCTGCCTTGCAAGCAGGTGGTCGTGAGTTCGATCCCTGGTACCGGTAAAAGAAAAAAGAAGGCAAAACCTTTTTTCTACTGCCATTTCACAGTGATCTCTCCTCTAAAGCTAACTGAAACACTAAACATGCTTAGTTTGCTTTTCTCTCGCCCAAGCTGAGTATCTGTTTTGAGATACTCACTTTCTAGAGAAAAATCATTCATCTCAGAGTATAATTTCTTGGACAATTTTAGGCAATGAGTTCCTAGTCTGCATAGTGCCCTGGGGGGCAGAATGAAGCAAGAGGGCTGTGGAGCCGTTGGTTGTACTCACAGGCCTGAAACAGGGTCCTGCTGCAGATAAGGAAGAGCTTTGGCATTAGCAATGATCTCCTGAGGCAGAGATGAAGGCTCCATACGCTGGAACATGGGTGCATTTTTCTGCATAAAAATAAAATTGCTATGACTCGGTGGGGCCTGCTATAGAGAATATACAGCTTACCTGATTCTAAACATAAATAATACCTTGTTCGACTAGTTTAGTCTTTGATCTACTTGGTTTGTATTCCTCGTCACTAGAAAGTTCTTGGGACTTCTACCACACTGGCAGAATATTGTACTTCAGGGATGTAGAGTCCTTGGGGCTCCCCTTGGGAGTCCACATGACTCCTTGTGGTCCACCCACCCACAGCATGCTGTCACTGAGCTTCACCTGTTCTTCCAGCTGCTGTCTCTGCTTCTTTACTTTACTCTGTTTGTAGTAGTCCATGATCATCATTGCTGCATAGATTTTGCCCACAGTCAGGTCGGAGGCTAAAAACACAAACGTGGCTTGGTGGTGAACAAAGAGAAGACAGGTGGGAGAGAGCAGGGGCACCTCACAAGCTGTGTTATTCATTCTCTGAAGCAGGTGTGCACCCCCCATCACCCATTCATCCAGTGTGCATTGAGACTCTGAAGATACAAAATGACCAGGCCCCAAATCTATCCTTGAGTAGCTTACATATCCACCAGTGATGGTGATGATAGCAAACTGACAGAAAGCAACACATACTCCCTGCCATTCTAGATAGACGTCTATGTCTAACCAACAATACCTTCTTCCTAACTGCATAAAGGTTTGCTAAACAGTATTTTGTAGAAGGAAGGATCTACACACTCATAATTTTACTCACAATCACAATGACTGATCTTAAGAAACTGTTTTCAGTAAATTATAAGAGACTTAAAGAGTAGAAAATTTAGTTCCCTAATGATAAAAGCAACCTTCTTCTATCTCCTTGATTAGCCCAGGTTCTCCAAAAGATGTAGCCTTGGAATGCTGTGTTAGTGACAAGGACACTCAGGAGGAGACCCCACACCTTTGGGCATGGGCACAAGCAGATCCAGCATCTTCTGGGACAGGTGAGGCCAGATGGCTAGGGTTTCCTTTTGTAGTTCCGAGTCTAGCTGCTGTCTGTCTGCACCACCTAGAATAAAATACGTTATTAATAAATAAATTGGAAGAGAGACAGAAATAACATGGACTGAGGGAATAGATGGGGGCAGGAGCTGAATCAGCATGGCACCTTATTTTCTGAGACAAATCCTGGCACTTAGTGACAGTGGATCTTGCAATACCAGGTCTTTCTGCTGAGAAAGCAGAACACACTTCGGCTCCCACTTTCAGCAACTAAGGCATATTCTGCCACAGATCTGAGGCCCTGAAACCAAGATCAACTTCCTCATTGATTCTAAAAGCCTCTGTGGTACTCAGTGTATTCAAGGCGAAAATAAAAATTGCCACAAATAAGCCTTCCCTGCCTCCTAATAGTACATATATCATTCTTTCAGCCACCCTAACTCCATAGTCTCAATAATCTGATTTTTAAAAAGATCTGAATCAGGTAAGAGAGGGAAGGCTGAAGGTCTGTCTAGAAGGAATGAATCTTTTATTTCTTAGATCACTCAATTAGCAGTCAAGATGAGCAAAAGGATAGCCAGGCTCCCTCAGAAGCCTGCCGGAGAAGGCTTCTAAGACTTTAGAGAAAAGATGCCATATAGGAAAAAAATGACAATATTACATAAATATTCAATGAACAATTATTCTAGCATGCCAACTATATGCCACAGGCAGACTCATCCACTGATAAAACTGGAAAAATGCTCAGAGATGATCAAGTCATTTCTTTTCCACAGGGAAATGGCAAGTATTATTGTTACTAAGCCTGAGATGTTATATCAGAACCCCAATATTTGATTTCCAGGTATTGCATCTTTGCTTTCTTGGCTGGCTGCTTGCTGGTCCAAACAGCTCTGTCTTCTACCATCCTGCACAGGTTGTTCCATAAAGCCTCCCTTTACCTTTCCTTTTCCCCTTCCTGAGCTGACCTTTGGCAATTTTAATGTCCAGAGCTGTCCGGATCAGAGCCATAAGAGTGGAGGTGAAGTGGACGGTCATATCCTCAGCTACTGGCATGTTCATCAGGACCAACCTCTGTGTGAAAGAGAAAAAAGAAACAGCAGACCCCAAAAAAAAAAAAAATCAAAAGATACCTTGGTGAGAAGGGGAGAAAAGTTCAGAGGCCAAATGCATAGACAAAAAAGAAGGGCAAGGATTCCCCATCCCCTGGCCCAGCCCTGCTCCCCTGCTTCTCACTGAAGGCTCATTTGATGCTATTTTTTCTAGGAAATGATGCCAAATTCCAAGAGAAGAGGGTTCCCTAATCATTCTGTAGAACTCCCTCATGGGTAGTCCCAAGAATATCTCTGATAGGGATGGGAAGTGATTTCTAAAAGCAGTGGCTCAGGGAAAGGAGTCAGCTCTAGGAGGTGGCTTCATTCCCTGTTTTACGGCTGCATATTTTGACTTGTACCATGAACATCCCCAACTTGATGACAAGACAGTATGGGGTGGGGATTTCGCTTTGCTTATCTGACTTGAAAGATGCATCCTAGTGCCCCCTTTTTGAGTCTTTAGAAGATGAAATTTGCCAGCACATGATTGACATGCAGAAGTCCAACTTATCCAAAGGATGAGGTGGAGCAGGATGGACAGGGAGAGAGTGCAAACAGGCTCTAGGAAGAGGAGAGGGACAAGGAGAGTGGGGAAGAGAGTGAGAAAAGGGGGCACAGGCAGGAGCAGAGTGGGCAGGCCCTGTTCCCTTCACCCAGAGGAAGGGATCCAACTGAAATGGCCAAATCCACTTTCCAGAGAGTATCTTGCTTTTGGAATTCTTTACCTTTCTTCCCGATCCCTTATCCAGTTCTCCCACCAAGTTTTATCCCAGAACTGCAAAGAATTCAGGGCTATATTCTACCACCTGGTGCTTTTGGATGTGGCCATCATGAGTAAAAGGGATATAAGCCTGTAAGCTGTGCATAAGAAGCCGTATGCTGGGGTGAGATGAAAGTGTCTAAATGGCCACGGTCCGGGGAAATGCTCTCTGGAGCAGCACAATTTGGAGGAAGCAGGTGAATGGCCTCTGGCAGAACCACCAGCCGGGCAGGGAGTAAGTATGGTATCTCTTGCAAGGCAAGGTCTCTGATATGCAACTGGAACACCTTGCCTAGAGTGATTCCACGGATGTGATCTCTCAGGATGTAAGTGTAGTTTCTTGTTGGTATCTGAGTTCCATCTCTCCTACTTTCTAAATGCCCAAAGAAGTGGCAATATAACCATGATGTATTCCTAAGTGAATGAAAGTGCTCTCAATTCTGGATCACCTAACCACCAGAAGGGAATTATCAGCAATTATTAATAATGGGTGAGGAAAAATGCAGGCCCTAAAACTACGAGCAACTGAATAGCAGGTGACTCCTACTGTACCATACTTCTGTGAGTATGAGGGCCACACCTGTGCCGGGCTAGGAGGGACAGGTAATCCTGAATGCAATTTGTGCCAAATCAGAGCCTTTTCTCTTGAGAGTATTTCCAAGAGAACTGGATAATCAGGCAAGTGGGGAGGAAAGCTGCATTCCTCAACTTATCATGAAATCCAGGATACATTCCCCTTTTGTCCTTATTCCTTTTTTATGCCATGGGGAAAGAAATTTGTTAAAGAGTTTTCTTCTCTCCTCAAAATTTCTTCTGGAACCACGTTTATAGGAATTTGCGCATTATTTCCCTAATTTATCTGAGTGAAGGTGTTTCTTTTCAAATAATCTCTGATAGCTGTTTGGTTGGAGGCTTCCTTCTTCCCCATATATACTAAAGCCTTGGCCACCACTCTGCCTCCTCTAGAAGGAAACGCACCATTAAAGTGCCTTTCCAGGAATCCACTCACAAAAAGCCACACGCTTACAAAAACACAGAGTGACACAGAAAAAGCCCCGCGGTGAACAACACTACAAACCATTCCTGTGACCTTTAGGGACTTGGTGAACCTTTCTGACCCTCTGGTCTGATCATTTCCTTTTTCCTTATTCCCTCCTCCACCCCCACAGCATGGCTTCCTCCCATGTGCGGGCCTCCCCATGACTGGATCCCATTTCCTGCTGGTCTCTAGCCCAGAACAAAGGAAGGGGTGGTCTACCTTATATGCCACTTTGGAGGGACATCTCTTGCCGAGGCCTAGCGGTGGTGACATGAGAGTCAGCATTTCATACATCTCAGTGTAATGGATGCGGCCACTGCTCATGGGGGAGTGGTAAGTCAGGATGGGGACAGGGCAGGAGGGGTGGCAGGGGAAGGAGAAGGAAATTGGGGGAAGGATGCAGACAGGTAGGAAGGAAAACAGGCATTCCCAGAGAGCCAAAACAAAATAAATAATACAGAAAATAGGAGAAGAAAAACAAAACAAAATGGACAAACAGGAAAAGAATAGGAAACCTGTTAATCAAGGCAAATCATACATGTGACTCCATCCTGGTATGGATTTATATCACGCCCCACACAGACCCGGGAAAGGAGGTTGCAACCTTTGGTCCCTCTGACACTGTCAGGAGGCATTGATTGGGTTCTTGGTGAGTATTACCCTCACTTTCCTGCTTCCTTCGTGTATGCCCAGTAGGACACAAACTAATTTTCAATTCCCAGGGCTGTGCACGAGCGGTATAAACCGGATAGACGGTGCTCCAACCGTGGGTAGGAATTTCTGGTCCCAGCTGGGATTGGGGCACTGGCCTGAGAATCAGACCTCACTCTTCCCCTAAACCCACAGGCAGAACATCGTGTATCCCCCTCTGGTGTGTGTGTAGCAGAAGGCGGCGGCAGCTGGCTTCAAAAGTAGTGAGCTGAGGTTGCTTGTCTGATAAGAGTCGGCCCGTTGCTTCCACCTGGCTCTGTGGACAACAGTGCTCTTTATTCCCCAGCATGCACCAGGTCGATGGTATGCTGGGGACAGAAGAAACTAAACCAGGAGGAAGAGCATCTTGCATGCCATGCTACCCTCCCCAGCTCTCCCACATGCGGCTGCAGGTTTCACCAGGGTGGAGTTTAAAGAGTCTCAGCAGAGGCAGCTGTTCAGCCTCCTGAGTATGGAATCACCGTGTGACCACGCAAATCAGCTCTCTCCATTGCCCAGGCAGGTGTCCTTCCTGAGCCTATGTCTTCTTCCAGCCACCTGGACAGTGTTATGCCACAAGGAGCCCACACTTCCCTCCTGTGGCACCAGGAGAGGGCTCTTTGTCTAGCAGGTACATCCTTAGATGCGGGCTTGGTAGAGCCATTCAACACAGAAGTTTCCCACAATATGGCAGAGTTGGGAAAGAAATTCTTATGTGCCCCTGAACAATGTCCTTGATCTAACCAACAAAAAGAGACTTGGCAATTATGACTGCCCCCTCTCAACCATAATGGCAAGACTCTAAGGCAAGGAATCTGCTTGGTAGTCTTTGTCCTCTACTGATGCCATCCCGGACTCTTGAGTGCTAGCACATTCTCCAACACATCTCTTGAACTATGCCTCTTTTACATACTCTTGCCTGTTACCCTATTGTTTCACTTCTTCTCTGACCTACACCTCTTATAGTCACTTGTGGCCAAACTACCAGGCCTGGGAGGCTGGGCAGAGGTGAAGATGACTAGAATCATATTGTGATTCTTTATACGTGGGATAATGATGTCAATAGCTAAAATGGAGCTCCTCTGTCTCCAATGATGGGAAGCAGAACCCTACTGGATTAAAAAGATTATTGCATTCTCTGGAGGAGGGAGAGGATCCTCTGATTAAATGTACAGACTAAGATGGACTAGATTATGTGTGTGCGTGTGTGGGTACACACATATGTGAGTGTGTTCTTGTGAAGAAAAGTGGAATAGATCAAATTAACTTTTATATTACATCTTTAACTCTGTTCTGGCTTTCTCACAAAATGTGCCCTGCTTTCTGTTAACAGCTGCTGGTTCTGGAAGGGTTTGGACCTCTTTAAACTCAAAGGAAAGCAACATGAAGGTCCCCTCATGTGGCACAGTGGTGGTGGAGCAGAGGACGGAGAGGAGGGGTTGATGTGGCATCCCACCGAGGGCAGGACTGGGGGCTGGGAGGCAAACCTTGCAAGCCACCCTGTAGGGGCAGTTCTCTCCCAGGCCCAGAGGAGGCGAGATCACCCGCACTAATTTGTACATATCCTTATACGGGATCCTGCCGCTGTAAAGGAAGCAGAGGTGGGTTAATAGGATATTCAGAGAAGGATGGGAAAGAAATGAGAGCTTCTCCCTAAAACGGGCTGGAAGAAGTAAGAGCAGCTTCTTTGTTTGCGCCTGGCAAAGCCAAACAGCAAGTCCTTGGAGAATGATCATCTTGCCAAACTGTACTGCCCCAGTATTCTCAGGAGGAACACCCTGATACCTATCTCATCCACACCTGCTAGAAGCATCCACATCCCTGACTTTAGCAAGAATTCTAAGAACAAAGATCGCCAGTGAGCCCATGACCACTGTCCAGCACTATACTGGCCTGCCATAGAGTAGACAATGAAACTGTTTGCTCTTCACAGACACTGACTCCAGCCAGTTACTCAGATTGCCTCTCAGGAGAAATGGGAAATCAATGTCTTTCTGCAGACTGTAAGTGACAAATTTCCCATTAGGCTAATCAGCAAGGAGCCCAGTTGGCATGACAGAATTAACATGGCCTCAATTCCCTCGGTGACAGATTTTATGAATTCAGCTTGGGCAAGCTCTTCTTCCTTCAGAGCGAATCTGCTTGCATCCTTGTCCAGAAAGCAGGCTGAGAGAGAACCCAGAAGTATTCTCCTAGCCCCATTCCTGCCACCCAATATCCAACATGGACCCTGCCAGGATTCCAGAAAAACTGTGACCTCTCTTACCAATCCCATTTCCTAAGAGCCTGCTAGAGATTTCTAGCTTCCTGTGGAAGGTGTAGAATGAAATATTGATGAGTTTTCAGTGGCCAAAGCATTTTCACTCCAGGGTTCAGAACAAGGGATCCATGCCCAGGAATCTGCAGGCCTGAAACAGATAATGTTTTCACTGAAAATTGTAAATAAGTTGTCTCCACTGCTGAACATCTAGTCCTCACTGACAGCTACATCAAGGCGAGTGCCTCGCTCCATCTTCACCCTTTCTAGCCTTCTCTTGATTTGAGTGCCGATTCTTTCTATTCTCCAGGATAGCAGCTCACCAGTACCTTCACAGCTTGCAGCTCTTCAGGGAAGGTAACTTTATCCATGTTCTTCTAGTTTGCTTCTTGGTGAGGTTAGGAAATAGGTGACTTATTAGTGGATATATAATGGTGTTCTATGATTTGTATAGTCCTTGTTTAGAAGACATTGACTCACTATCCTGGTGTCCTGCCACCTTCCTTTTACCACTGAGAAAGCAAATGAAATTCTAGCCAGCAGTTACACGGTGATATTCCAAGTAGACAGAAGAGGTTCTCCTTTGCTTTTTGCTCTCTTTGCTTAATTCCTGTGTCTGGGCATCATGATTGGTCCTTGTGGAACTGGCCTGAGTGAGGAGCAGCATGTTTACCACACATGGCATTTGGATCCTAAGGTAATGCAAACCCACAAGAATCTCAGGTTTCTAAGAACCAGGAAAGCTAGGTGAACAAGGCTAGATGAAAACGACTGCCTTTGCTCGCAGGTGGCTTCTCTTAGGTGAATCTCTAAGCTCCCAATCCCACGGCCATCCATGCTTTCCAGATGCTCATTTGCCTTCTTTCCAAGTTGCATTCTCATGTGGTTATTGTCAGTTGCAATACTAATTGCATGTATGACATAATAGTACCCACACAATCATCCTTTAAGGTAGGAAAGTATCATTATCACTGCTCCACAGATGCAGAAGCTCAGAAAAGTGATTCATCCAAGGTTACTGAACTGATGAAATGCAGGCCTGGGTGTGTTGTAGAACATATTGCTTGCTGCTTCCTTACAGCTATCTAAAAATGTGTCTAGAAAGTAAAAGGCTGTTAGCCATTGTAACAAGAGTGAATTTAAATAACTCTGAGCTCTCAGTTGTAAATAATTGTAGTGGGTTAGAAGAATTCTGGTTTATTCATTCAGCCCAGAATTCAATTGCCTCACAGGAGGATAGATTTTTGGGAAGCATTTCAGATTATAAAGAGGGCTCCAGGTGGAAGCAACATGGTCCATTCCTGTGAAGAATGAGATTTCTTGTAGTATTTTCGGAGGGGAACCAAAATGAACAGAATGGTGAGTTAAGACCCCAAAACTAAGATGGGTCAGAATTGTTTCTTTAGAGAAATCATTCATACAACTCTCAATCTATCCTCAACCATAAGGACCAAAATTCTGCCTTTGTTTTGAAATAGGGGTCAGCAAACTTTTTCAACAGTAAAACCTTTGACAATGAAGTACTTCAAGTAGTATTATCAAGTTGAAGGACTTGAACTATCTTTGTTAAAACTACTCAGGTCTCTCTTGAAGTGTGAAAGAGCCATATATAATATATAAATGAATGGTTGTAGCCGTAGTCTAATAAAACTTTATTTGCAAAATCAGACAGTGTGTCAGATTTAACTCATAGGCAGTAGTTTGCTAACCCCTGCTTTAAACACCAGAAGGTACATCACTTCAGACCTTTGGGGATAAAGGAGATAACAAAGGTATGGTCGCTGCCATTTCCTGCTGTTTAATTCAGTTCCATGTGATAAAATCGGCAAGTGTTTAGGGGAAGAGTTGTAAGAACATTTTGCTTCGTTTTAAAAATAGAATCTCGAGTTATATTCAAAAGGTACCTGCTGAGACAGATGAAGAAGATAAAACACTAATATTACTAAGCATGGTGGCCAGGTGTCCACTGGCCCAGAAAACCCTTGTCAAACCCTCTGGTGACTCAAGAGAATCCACTAACATTGGAAGGAAAATAAGAAAGAGATTACTGGAAGCTGCTCTGGGAGTGAATCCAAATGATCCAAGGTGAAGACCGTGTGATGAGACTGATAAAGAAAGGGGAAAGTCTGTGACAGAAGGAAAACGAGGGTAAGGGAAGCAAAAGAGGTAAGATTTTGATGACGGGGTTGGTACCAGAGATTCTTCCACAGGCACAACCAAGAGGAGTGACCTATCCTTGTGCAACAGGTGAGAATTGGGGTGGGTCCAATTCCACCCTCTTCCCCAAGAACGCCAGAGCCATTTGATCTCTGGGTGTCCCACAGGCTTACGCACCATGCTGCTCTGTCATATTCTGCCCAGACACGGACAAACTCGTCCAAGTGGTGAGGCCCCAAGATGGAGGAATCCCGAGTCAGGTACTCAAAGTTGTCCATGATGACAGCCACAAACAGGTTGAGCATCTAAGGACAGAGGGGAAAAGAGCGGTCAGGGGGTGGGCAGTGTAAAGGAGCGCTCAGGGAACAGAACAGGCATCCGAGCAAATAAAAGACTTCCAAAGTTCCTAAGGCTGAAGCTTCTAGCTAAAGCACCGCTTTAGTACCGAACATTTCATTGTGTGAGCATTGTGATTTCCTTTTTCTATGCCACTTCACATTTGGAAAACACTCGACTTGCATTATCTGTTCAATTTACTTCATTGTTTTCATGGTAGCAGAGAGAGAGCAGCAGCTTCAACATTCTCGAAGTCTAGAGAAAGTCAAGGCCAGCAAGCAACCTTCCCTGTGCTGCCTCCTTTGCTCTCCGATGCTCCACAGAGGGGCTCAAAGAGAGCTCGTGAGGTGACTCAGTGAGGGAAGAGCCGACTGCTGAAGACTGGCTGTTTACTGATCTGGAGGGGCTTCTAGACTCTGTCCTCCCCTGTGGTTTTTCATCCAATCTTTACGGCACACTTGAGACTCGAGTGCTGAAGTGTGAGATAAAAAAGAGCTTACATTCCCACGTCCAGAGAACATTTCCCATTCCTGGCTCGTGCTTAAAGCATGCAAGGCCTTCACTACATGTAATCACTTGGGCCTTCTTAATACTGTGTGCAGTATTTAGAAGACATTGTGATATATTGAAAGCATACAAATGTTACAAATTCGGAAGAAAAACTCTAGCAGAAGGCTGATTCTTGAGCTGAGTCCTGATAGACAAGGTCCTATTTAACAGACAGGACAGGTATAAAAGAAGGAGGAGGAGAGAGCATGGATGACAGAGCACAGAAGTATGCAGGGGCAAGGGTCACAGGGGGAACAGTAGGGACAGCAGAGAAGCTGGGGCCAAGTGTTGAATCACAGAAGCATCTTCTTAGTCATGCCAGAGTCTAGACCAAGATTAGCAACACGGTCAGATAACATATACTGGGGACCTTTTGGCTTGTACTGTCTCTGCCACAACTATTCATCTCTGTTGCTGTAGGACCAGGCAGACACTGTATATGCAAATGCAGACAGTGTATATGCAAATGAGCATAGCTATGTTGCAAGAAAGCTTTGTTTCTGAACACTGAAATTTGAATTTCATATAATTTCCACATACCATGAAATATTATTTATCCTTTTTTCCCTCATTGCCATTTAAGAATGTAAAATCTATTGCTAGCTCACAGGCCATGAAAAACTGTGGCAAATTAGATTTGGCCCCTGGGCTGTAGTTTGCAGATCTCTGGTCTAGGCTATTCTGTAAAGGGTTTACACAGAAGACAGATCATGGAACATATGCATTTGGAAAGAACCATTGGTAATAGCACAGAGGGTGGACAGGAGACTGAGAGGGGAGAATTGTTCCTGGACCAAGCCAGAGGCAAGAAAGGCCTAAAGACGGGATTAGAGCGTTAATGAAGTTGTGATGGACATGACTTGACCACGGGGCTGTTGTTCTGTTTCAAGGGCACTAAGCATGTATTGACTATACTTCTGGTGCAGGTTTTTGCTTATTTACAGTTAGTGTGGCTCACTGGGGCACCATGCTATGACCCAGGCTCCCAGGAAGTCTTCAGATCCCATTTTCTTAGATAGCAATGATTAGTGACTGAATCAGAACCAATAAAACGGTACTGGGTAAAAGACTTGCCCTTCCTTGTTGCTCATGCATATGTGAGGATGTGAAGTGTAGCGCTGCTAAGACCATCTGGGTGCCCGGAGGTAGGGTAGTTAAAAACTGAATTCATATAGAAGAATGTGAAGGTGATCTATATAGAGAAAGCTGATCCCAATAAGCCCCTTGCTTAAGCCTGCCCTGCCCTGAGATTCCTCACTGACATGAGCTTATAAAAATCCCACCTTGCTTAGAGTAGATCTAGTTGGGCTTTCCAACACTTGTAATTTAAAATCTTGCTTCATAGAGACAAAGTGGTTGGGAAGATGAGGGAACAGGAGTCTCTGTTGTAGATCCCAGGTTAAAGGCCTGGATGCTTGGAGGAACCAGTCATGCAGACAAGAATACAAGATAAGGACATAATTGGGACTCTTCTCCACATGGAGTGTTGGTTACATTATCGTAGCTAGTGTTTCCTTCTCTCTGTCTCTCTGTATCTCTCTACCTCTCTCTCTATGTTTCCCACCCTTTGCCTAGAACACAAATGACTTGCTGGAGGTCACCTGTCTTTATTACCATGAGGGTGAGAGACACATCCCAAAGATGATGCAGGAATGACTCAAAAGTCCTAACAAATCTGTGGAGCTATCATGAGCCTGAGAACCTCCTTTTAGAATTTGTTGACATGAGAGGAAAATCATTGCCCTTCTTGGTTACAATGGTGTTATTTGGGGAGTTCTATTTCATGCTGCTGAACCTACTCCTAACATGGGCCTTTATGCCTGTCACTGAAATGAGAGCCACTATGAAATTATTTAATCTCTGCCTGGGTTATAACAGATTTTCCATGTATCCACATATTACTTTTACTCTCATTTTAGGGTATCTATTATAAATGTTAACACAAACTATTAGCATTGTTTATTGCTTCACATTTGTATAGTCTTTTAACAGTGTGCTACATGCATTCACACCTATGGTTTGTTTTTAAGCTCCCTCTACCTCTTTGTGAGACAGGTTTAATTACCATTAGCCCTTCAAGGAAACAAGTGCTTCTAATTCACTTTTGGATTTTTAGCTCCCAGCACATGGTTTGGCATCTCATAGGACATCATTAAATCTCCACAGAGTGGTTGGTCTGAGATAAGAAGCTGTGTGACTTGTCCAAGGTCACAAAGCCAGTTTTATGGAAAATAAAGGGTTGAGAGCAGATCATTTCATACTGAATATAGCCTCATTAAAAATAACATGAATGTGAATTATGCAGCACCCTAAAAGTTCTAAAAGTTCTAACCCTCAAAGTTCTAAAAGTACCTTTGTAGTACCTAATTAACTTTGCAGTTATATCTTTGGTTTCTTTTATTATTAAACATTTAAACTATGTAAGAAGAAAACTGAGATGTCTACATGCTGTTCTTTCTGCTCTGTTTGACCCTTGTAAGTACTGCTATATTATAAGCTGGTACCTTTTTTGATAGTTCTACCATAGTGCCTAGCTTGGAGCCAGTCTTTTAAAAGCTACTCAGCAAAAATGTGCTCAAGATGTGAATAAATAACCTTTAAACACCAATTAGTATCATCATTCTAAGTTTTCTTTCAGTTATTTTCACTGACATTCTGCTTCCCGATATGCAAACAAGAGACTATTTTGCATTCTTTTTCTACCAAAAAAGTGTTTCACATTCATCAGAAGGAAGTGTATTGAAACACACGTACATACAATATGCTTATTATCAAGTTGCTTTCTCTCTCATTTCAAGGAAGCTACACAAGGGAACATGTTCATACATGGAACTATGGTTGGCCATGGTTCATACAGCAAAGCAGCCAATACTGCAAAGGGCTCTCCCTTAGTCTCCAGCTAGTTCACTCCCTGAAGCAATTACTTGTGCCCCACACTTGTCTACATGCAAACCCCTCCCAAAACTGAAGAACTAGACTGTGGGAGGTTTCCACGTCTTTGAGATCACTTTGAAGAGGTAGAAATGCCTAGACATGAGACAGTCGACTCACTTCTCCGATTCACAGCCCTATCACCTACCACTTTTCAGCAGCAATACTGTTTTAATTTAGACTTTTGTACAGCCAGCAGCATTAGCAGTGAAGCTGAGCTGAGGGCTGCCAGCATAGACAGAAATATCATAATGATCCTTTTATTGATCTGGTAGCACCTCATCTATGTATTCTGTTTATCACTGTTTGACGTACAAGGTAGAAATTTCTGGGCACTAGTGTGCTAATTCATGCTTTCTCCAAAAGAAAGAACTAGAAAGGGCTTCTCATCCCTTTCTAAGTGGAAACGCTCCATACACTTTTACTAACACCCAAAGCAACCATACCCTTTCGCACCATCAAGACGGTCAGCTGTCATCAAATGCAATGGCACTACAAGTCAGGATAAAACCACATCTATTATATGGTATCATCGTTCTTCACTTATTAATCCTATCATCTTGTGTTTTGAAGGAATCTTTTCTCAAACAGATAAAAAATGTCCAAAAGAGAGGCAAGATGTTCTTATCCCTAGCTATAAGACAGAATACCTGAGGTACAAAAAAGAACATACTTACTCTGGGTCACCAAGAGACAGCATGAAGCTCAGGGTTCTCCCCATTAAACTACACTGAACTCCTCCTCTCTTCTCATAACAGCTCTTCCCTAGAACCAGCAAATACTTTTCTCGACCAGTGGAAGTCATGACAGGAGTCCTGACAGGAGTCAGGAGCATCCTGGCCTCTGGAAGTTCCCTGCAGGAGGCATGGAGAGGGCCCTTCCTCTTCCCATGGGTTGCAATGCAATAGGGAGAGGGTGTGGGAGATGGAAGGAAAAGGACATGAACACACACAGAAGGGAGTTTCTCTTGTCTGTTTGTCAGTGGGCCTGGTACAGAGTTAGGGTGATGCAGGCTACAGCTGCAGCAAGAACACAATGCTGCTTACCAAGAAGGAGCAGAAGAAGATGAAGGAAACAAAGTACACGTAGGCCAGGTCAGTGCCACAGCGCTCATTCTCAGTCTGCCCAGATGGTGCAGTGGTGTCAGGCTCGCAGCCTTTCTCTCCAAGGCATGACAGCATAATCTCCTGCCAGGCCTCACCTGTGGCACTCCTGAACCCGAAAGACACTTTGGTTAGAAGGAGCAGGTCTGCACGTCCTACCTTATCCTTTGTGCTCTTTCCCAATTCAACCATCCTTTCTTTTACCACAGGTCCTACAGGTTCCCTTCTCACCCTGTTGACCCTTCTAGTGCTTTCCATGCAGAGACAGAGAATGCCAATGGAATTTCTCATCGGTTCCTCCATCCACCCACCACTTCTCCAGGTAGTGGGGGAATCTCTGCTGACTGTGGTAGAGAAAGCGGGAACTCTAGATCTCCACATAAAATGAGGTTTGAGCTCTTAAATGGAATTTAGCCTACAAGAAATTGTCCTTGATATCATTTCCAGATTTCTAGAGCATGTGTTGAAGCTGAAATCTGCAAATTAACTTCTGTATCAAAGAGATTGATGAACTTTCTCATATCATATGGCAGTTAGACAAAAAGTAACTGTGCCCTCTTCACTGCCTATTCTGATAGAAGCAGAAGAAGCAGGACAAAGAGATGAGGAGAAATGGGGAGAAGAGGCTGAACAAGTTTCTCTCTCACCAACAGCACTCTAGCTGGGATAGTTTCACATCCGAGTACCTGAAGAGTAACATGAGGGACCCAAAGAAACTCCGGAAATTGTTGTGCCGGTTGATGTGACTCTCCTCATCCAATTTGATGTTTCCGAATACCTGGGGGAAAAACAAGAAAAAGCAGTGAGCAATATTGAGCTGTGGGTTGTGTCCAGCATATGATCATTAGATGCACAGGCAGGCTAATAAAGCTACACGCATGACTTCCTGATGAGATGACACATACCCAGAGAGCTGATGAACACTATCTATGCTTTTAGCCTGATAAGGACTAATTATTTCCTCAGTGTAGCAGTACCTCAAAAGGCACTGGTGTTATTAAGGCCCAGGCATAGCATAGATTTCAAGATCTTTTAACATCCTTCTGCTTATACATAGATTCTCCTGCACCTAATTTAGTCTTTTTATTTCCATGGTACCTGTCACCATGGTACGCAAACATTTGTAAAAACATTATCCCCTAACAGAGGTGGAGGGAAGGACTCACCCTTCTCTTCCTGTCTCTGGTGGTCATGATGAGAACAAATCTGTATTTGCTGAAGATGATATTTATAGTTTGGGCAGATGCTGCCCTGGAATTTGCAAGTAGTTTAGATAAGATTGGATAAAGCATCCCTATCTTCCTTAGATTGCTTTATATTCAGAATCTCAATTTCAGAATGTTGATTTGACAGTTATCTAATGCAAATGGACATGCACATGTCTGTACGCACACATGCACCCATCCAAAAGTGGCCATTTGTGTGGAAGCTAAAACAAACCCAGTACAACAGGACAGAGAAAGTCAGGATAAGTGGATATTTGGAAAAAGAAAATGAGAGTATCTAGCTACAGAGAGAGGTTTACTAAGCTGCTGCTGACTGTGGCTATTACGGAAATTCACATGAAAAGGAGGAAACGCTCAAGAGAACTTTACCTACAGTTAAGTAGTGATGAACTTCCAATGATAATTTTTAAGTAAAAAGTGAGAAGCTGGACTTTAAGTTTTTAAATTGCTTTTCACAATATGTCTTGGAATCATGATCACCCCAGGTCCCCTCAAAGAGAAGAGTGCTTTTACATATATGTTCTCCTCCTCCAACCATGTTTCGAATACCCACATCTGTTCTCATAAGCCAGGGTTGGCACATTGGCAGGCTTCCTGGGTCATTTTAGCAGCCATTTGAGATAATTTTCATCCTACACTGAGCATATTCAGTTTATCCAAAATATGCTAACTGGAACACATCTTCCCCCGAACAGTTTTTAGAATGTGCAATTGAGGAACCATCTCCCCCCCTAGCTATTTTGCTCAAGTAACTCCCACTGACACCTGCTTTGGGAATTTGTTCTCAACACTGTTTTTCAAAACCCAAATATTATTATTTGTCTTGCAGGGAGAATGGAGGTGGTAGCAGAGGAAAGAATGGAAAGAGGATAAAAAGATAAAGACCCTCAAGAAATGAATACAATAACTGCATTCAAAATATCCCACTCAAGCAATCGACTCCAGTTCTGGGGACTCCACTAGAACACGATGTGTTCTTGTCCTGTTCAAATCTCATTTTCTTTTCTTTCTTTTCACATCTTGGCTAAGAACTCATGACTTATCCCTGATTTAAGACATATACACAATGCCCATATGTTTTCTCCCTATGACATTCAGACAGCCATCATTAGTTGTCCTGATTATGGTTTTCTGAAACACCACCGAATCACAAACTACATGAAGGGTACATTGTTATTTTTGGTACAGAATACGTACAACAAAGAAATTACAGCTATTTTGATTATTGCCTACGATAATTTTCAAGTCAAAAATTCATGTTTATTTATATGGTGGTCTTTAGAATTTCTTTTTACTTCTTTTCAGCTTTTCTCAAAGTCTTTGTCACTAACCCAAATCTGCTACTTCAAAGGGGTATGGAAGAGAGAGGCAGAGTATTTCAGAAAAGTTAATGAGAATATAAGCTTAAATCCATTTTCACTTGGAATCACAAAACTGGAGAACTAGAAAGGACCTGTGATGATATCTAACTAACTCCACCACTGTATTGGTAAAGGAGTTAAGGCCCAGAGAGATTCAATGACTTGATTAAATTCAAACAGCTGGTCAGTGGCAGAACTGAAGCTGGAAACTTTACTTCTAACAACTATAACTCTTCATATTTCTTCCCATATGTAGCAAGTTACTCCTTCCTTTCATCTTCAGAGTTTTCTGCAAAGTTCTCTTTTTCCAACAAGCCTTGAATGTCTAGAATAAAGTTCTTCTCATGGATACATTCATTTGCTGCTTAGGTCTCTCCAAACGTCTGATTTTTTTGTCTTTGTATTTGTATCGATCTCTCTGTTTGTGGTGATTGTATTGGGCACATTCTCTTCATTAACAAGCACAAGCTTGTGCATGGTGCTGGTTCTCTGTCTTGAACCAGGATAGGGACTGTCAACTAAAGGTAAGTTACAGCAGAAATGGCATTCAGGTAGCTGCAAGTACTTTTATATTTTGGAAAGATGTGTAAAGGTTATTGGGAAGATGATGATTTTGATACCAAACAGCTCCTATCTCCTACTAAAGGACCAAAGAAGCACTTGCACTTGCCTATCTGGTGATATGAGAGATGGTATATAGGTAAGAACATGGAACAGACAGAACCAAGTTCAAATCTCAGCTCTTCCACATAAAATCTAAGATTTTGCATATATTTAACCTACTTAACCATACTAAGCATCACATCACTTCTGAATACATTAACTGCACGTTTTACACTCATGCTTTCTTTTTATATTCTTATCTATCTATCTATTCATCTACATACATGCATATATGTATGCTTTTAGTACTGTCTGGCACACCAAGGAATTCAAATAATAGTAAATAGCATTATCATTGTTACTGGCATTATCAGTAGTAGGTTAGAATTGAGATGTGTTATTCTACTTTACATTGCTTGAGAATGAAAAGGGGTAAGAATTACTTTGAACATGGCCAAACAGAACTTAACTTAATCAAGTCTGTATTTGACTTTTGAAGAATATTTCAATTCTGAGATCAAATTCAGGATTGGAAAGAAGGACTTAATAGAAGTTATCAAGTCAGTCTAAACTTTATTAGAAATTCAACACTGCTGACACTGTCATTAATTCCTAATGGAATGCCCACTGCTTCTTAATCAAGTCTCACAAATTTTGGTACTTGACATACTGACATTTTTGGAGAACAAAACTTTCTAGTAATGGAGTTAGAGGAAGGACAAAACTAAGACATGCAGGCAAGGAGAGAGGGGTAAAAAGAAGGGGGATTTGGAGATGCTCTGGAAAGGGCTGATAAGGTGAAAGCTTAGAAGATGGAGCTGTGACTCCAGGTGGCAGACACCACTGAGCAGGCAGCTGGCAGTCTAAAGGCAGCCAGACTGCCCGGCTGCAGAAGACTGTCTGCTGAAGTTCTTTGCTGAGGTTTAGTCATGATATCTGCAAGCCAAAGAATGAGCCCTCTAAAATGAGCAGAAAGCCTGTGTATCCAGTAAGACAGGTCTGTGGGATGTGTGGTGTTGCTCGTTTACATGGAAGTTCACCTACCACAAATGTCCACTGTCCTTGAAAGAGCTTTTGGCCTCTTCTGGCTCTATAGGCCTCTACCAACCTGAATAAATATCCATGGTAGGATCTTAATCTAATTCTCAAGTCTGAAAGGGGAGAGGGTGCCCATAACAATGATATACAGCCCTGTAAGAGGGGAATTAGCTGGAAAGTGGCCCCTGGGTCTCCTTAGGATGGGCAGTCTGCCAGGAACTCTATGAGCTGTTTACAGTGCTGAGTCTTCACAAAAGGTTAGTCAGAACTCAATCCAGATATATTTGATATCATTGCATGCATGAGAATAAACATAGAATCTTCTTTTAGGTCCAGTCCAAATATCAGAGATCCTGATAAATGAATTATACACCCCCTCCAGTCTCCTTAGAGATTTCTCTGAGAAAGAACAATGGTGTCATATTTACTTTAGTTCTTATGTTGTGTCCACAGAAGCACAGCTGTTTATAAGTCAACACCATGATCTGACAATCTCAGATGAAGTCACAGTATAGGCCACCCTGAAAATCTGGAGAACCACTGCATCCAGGAAGTTATCAAGGTCACACAGCAGTAAGACCTCAGGAGAGCACCCTTAGGCAAGAAACAGTGCAACGTATCCTCAGTCTTGCATGTTCAGGTTGCTAAACCAGAGAAGGGCTAAGTAATACTTTCCCCCACTGGGCCCGACGACTGGCTCACCTGCATCCCAATGATGGCATAAATGAAAAAAAGCATGGCAATCAAGAGGCAGACATAGGGAAGGGCCTAGAAGGAAAGTAGAGAGAAGATTATTAATCAAAAGGAGGCAGCTTCTATGGTCAACAACCTGTGGTCACTGGCAGGAACTCTTGCCCTTAGGTAGTTTACACAGAGGAATGGGACTCTGCTCCCTGAGGCCACTCTGTTTTTGGTGTAGTACTTTTTCAGATGCCCATATCCTTTGACAGATATGTAAACAGCTGGCCAGAGAAGTTTATAATTTACTTTGTGTGAAGAATATTCACTCATCCAGAAATGTAGCCCATATCTCCAAGGAAAGCTTGGAAAACTTTCTGGGCTCAGTATTTATCTCATTTGGCATGCAGAAGATTAATAATCTGAGCAACTGTGATGCAAATTATACAGCCAAGAATCCAGCTTTGGCTTTCACATCCTTGTATTTCTCCTTCCCACTCCTACACCCAGTGTGAAACCCTTCGTGGAGAGTCTGGGAGCAAAGTGAAATGACTGGGGTCTCACTTGTTTGTCTATTCCTAGGAAGTTCTTTTATCTTCTGACGAGACATTGTTCAGTGCTTAAGCCACCCTCTCTTCAAGGTTTCATTACGTTGCATGGAAAAATCTCAAAAGCTTCTTAGGCGTAAACCACAACAAAACTTTGCCACAAAGCCATGAGGCATGAAGTTCTGCAGTATGCATATATGCCTACTGTCACTTTGGGATAACAGCCTTTCAACATGGGGTGGGGCAAGTGAAGGGGAGGAAAGGCAGGGGGCTTCCTTGGCTGCCTGGGAAAGGCTGCAGGAAAGGAATGGTGTGTTTCCGTGAGGGGAGACCCTGCAGCTGAAGCCTGGAAGTAAGGAGGCAGCATTGCTCACCACCTGCAGTGCTGCTGCCTTCCATCCTGGCTTCCTGTCCTCGGTCTACCTTCTCCGCTCAGAGTCTCCAGGCTCTGTCCCCTTTTCCAACCCCCAGCTTTGGTGAGAACACCAAAGACTCCATCTGTTCTCCTCTCTTGTCATGCCACGCACAGTGAGGGAAGAGAGGGGAACTGGATGACTTTCAGACGGGGTGAGCATCTGCAGAGTCAACAGCACAACGCCATTCATATTGTGCTGCTTTCTGCTTTGTGTTTGTAGAAGTAGCCTTTGCTAATCTGACTTTAAGGAACTTCTACACAGAGTCTCAGAACTGTTCTGAAAAGAAAGCACCTGTGTGTTAGTGTCCCCTCTAACAGTCACTTGTCTTGCTGTTTTCTGTTCTATTCACTGGAATAAACTAATCATTTGGTCAGCAGTGTCTGAGTGAAGAATTAGTAATGATGATGTCGGCTAAACTCCCTTCCCAAATGATGACAAGCCATGAATTCGCTGGCTGGTCTCCTTCAGTTTAATTTGAAAGTACATAAATAGTTAAAGAAAACTTGGTGAACTCATGATTTCCTTTAACCTCCATGATACATAGTTTCAGAGAGACTTGGTGAACGTTATAAAATGACAGGATAACATTTCTTAAGAGGATAACAACTGACATTTATTGCACAGTCCTCTTAAAACAATTTAAAAAATAAAACAGCTTTAAAAGCATCTAGTCTTTCCTATTCTCAATTCAAATTCACCTGAGCCTCAGATGGTAACTTTTTGCTAAGTTTTTAGCTTTTTCCTCTGTCCTCTTCCTTTGAAAAATAGTTTTCATTGAGGTGAGGCCTTTCTGGAGTTATCATACTGAATAATTATTCTGGAGAGGAGGGAAATGTCAAGGCTGCTTGTAGGAGGCTGATCATGCTCACAGTGGTCTCACTTCTCAAACTCTGAAGTACTTGATGAAGAAACAAGCAATGATGATATTGGCTAAACGCCCTTTCCAAACGATGACAAACCATGAACTCACTGGCTTGTCTCCTGCCATTTAATTTCTAATGAAAGTATATAAATAATTAAAATAAAGAAAACTTGGTGAGTTCATGATTTCTCATCTTCAAATCATTTAATGTCATCGAATTTATTTTTAAACATATTCATTGAAAAAAATTTTCATGAGAGGAAAAAAGCGTTTAAACAATACTTAGACATCCAAAACCTTAAAAATAACTAATTTAGGATAGTTACTAGAGCTCCAAGATATTTAAATAAGTCCTTTTATTGGAAAACTCTGCCATCGAGCCTCAGGTATTGATTTTAATTTATATTTATTATATCTACACCTCTGTATGCACCATGACTATTTAAAAGAAACTTACTGTATTAGCTTGCCCAGGCATTCCTATTTGTAGGACACAGAAGTTATCATTAGCTTATCACACAATCAGTGATTTGGGAAATAGACACTGATGAAGACACAGAGGGACTGAGCATGAATCAGCTTGCTATGAAATACAGCTGAAAGAGTCCCCTGAGAAACTGTTACATGAAATAAAATCATGACAAGCCCTTGCAAATGCAGAGGACATCAGACTGCAGGTAGCTGGCTCTTTGCATGGATAGGATTGCTTGAGGCAATCAGGAACAGCCCAGTAGGAAGTACACTTCCTAAAGCATGCACCTTGCCTTCTGACCTGAGATACAAAGTCAAGGTGCTTTTACAGAATGAGATTCATTCTAAATCTGAGCAAGCCAGGCTGTAATTAAGCCCCACTGCACTCCCTGAATGCTTCCATCACAAACGTCCATTTTACAAGCTTCACTTTCCCAGAGGTGAAGGGATGGAAGCACCAGTGATGCTACACAGAGCTGCCTGCTGTGCTGTTGGTTCCACAGAGCCATCTCAATCCTCAGAGAAGACTTCCTGGCGCATCTTACCTTGAAGGACTGCACAAAGGTCCAAAGCAAAATACGTATGGTATAGCCCTGACGCAGAAGCTTTATGAGACGGGCAGCTCGGAAGAGCTTCAGAAAGCTCATATTGAAACCACTAGTGTTCACCAGCTGGTGGACCAAAAGGAAACATGTAATTAGTGACATTATGGTCATTTAGAAAAATCTAAGCACTAGTTATTTGTATATTTATTTCTCATTCAGATCACAAAATAGAACACAGTCTCTGTCTTTCTTTGTTAACCCCAACTCCAACAGATGGGCTGGCCAGCATGTGCGTCTTAGCTTTCGCATGCTTATCAATTCTATTCCCAGCAGAAGGCAAGCAGGGTTTTTCTGGACACAGAACACAAAACTGGCCTCCCTGGTCTCTATCATGCAGTCTAAAATCTACACTTACACTCCAAAAGAGCTGATACAGTAATCCCTGAAACACATCATGGCCCTTCTATATTCAAAGAGTATTACAATGAGCTTGCCAAAATGTTCTTTAGGATAAGCAAATTTAGAGAAATAATTCAGGCCTATGAACTCTGAAAGCAAAGATACAGTGTCTCTTGAGACTCTAACAGAATACTGTGTATGCTAGCTTTCTTCCAAAACCCTGTATTACTTTACGTTTCCCATTAGATATCTGAGATTTAAGTCATGCAGGTGAAACAAAGGCTTCCATGTGATTCAGATCTGTTTCAGTTAGCATTCTCTGGCTAATGCTTGGGAGCCAGGAAATGAACTCCCAACACTTGGAGGGTGACATATTCAGTTTGGTGGGATACAAATGAACCTATTGAGTAGAGGACTTTTTAAAATGCTTACTCCAGAGCCAAGTTTAAAGACATTCACCTTGCTGTCTGTCAGGATAATTTCTGTGATACTGCCAATCACAGTGATGAAGTCAAAAATATTCCAGGTATCTCGGAAATAGTTCTGCCAAGTGAGTTCAGTCATAGGAACAATAGAAAAAGGAAAAGAAAAAAAATGTAAGGAAAGAAAAGAAAAGACATCTTTCATTACATAACTTTGTCACTTGAAATTAAAACTTGTCAATTCATGCACAAGTTCATTTTAACCTCGGCTTTAATTTTCCATTTCTAACCAGAAATTCCATTTCTCCTTTACTAATTTGGGAATTTCTCATTTAGAAAGTAGTTCCATCACTATTCAAAGACTTTGTTTTTGAAACTGTCACTGAAAAACTCATACATAAGTTTTTATAAATTTTTATTTTTTAGAGATTTATTTTTACTGTAGCATTTTTTATAAATAAAAAGCTGTAGACATGCAACGTAGACATCTTGGTGATTTGGGGGATAAGTACACAGCTATAAAACCATCACCACCATTACACAACTTTTAAATTATGCATATCACATCAAGTGACCTTAAAAATTATAGTTATGGTCGATACACTGTGCCAACTTGAAAAGTTTAGAACTGAAAGACTCAGCAGGGAGCCAGAGTCCTTGCTTTGTAAACATCCTCATCTTGTGCAAGAGAAAGGCACAGAGATTTTGTGAGTGCTACACCTGCCCTGGAGAAGAGTGTAGCCCGTGTACAATATAAGGGAGGAGAAGAGGCTTGCTCTCCTCCCCTACTTCTTTTGCTCTGGCTGTTTTTGCTGGCTGCTGCCTTGAGGTGTTAAGCCTGGTGCCACACTAGACTGCTTCTGAACCAGCTGATAATGGACTGAAACCTCCACAAACAGTGAGCTAAATAAACTGTTCCTTCCTTCATTTTGGGTGTTGGATATTTTGTCCCAGCAACAAGGAAAAAGTAACCAAGACAGCCACCATTATACAACTTTTAAATTATGTATATCACATCAAGCAACCCTATAAAATTATAGCTCTGATTTTCAGCAAAATCAAAATTCATACAAATTATGTGACTAAATGTCACAGACATGTCACAACTTTCTAACTCCATTGAGCCTTTTCAAGTGATGAATGGACTTCATTTTCCTCTCTTTCTGTTTATATACTTTTTGAAAAGTGAAACGATTAAAAAGACAATGAAGCTGTAGTAAAATAAGTGGGATTGAAGGAGAAAAACGAGACATAAAGGACCTAGAAAATCCATCAAGCAGGTAACAGTCCACTTAATCACAGAAGATTATGTGTCCATCTCTTAGGCTCACATGAACATAGACCTTGGACTTGGTTCCTTAAAAAAAGACATTTAGGTCCTTTATAATCTTAATTTTCTGTATGAGGAAACTGAGGCTTAGAAAAATTTAATTCCAAACAGCTTTAGCAGGAAGCTCAGTTTGTATTACAATCCTTAGTTCATTGGTGATAGAGTAAATTCCTCAATTATCGGGGCTCTCCCATTCCCCATTTCAAGGTAAACACACTACTTCGCTCACAGGACTGGAAGCCTTGAGTTCGAGTTGAGGATGCTTTGCAGAATAGCATATTGGAATATAAAATCATATTGTGTAGAAAAGAATACAGTCCCCTCTTATATGTGATTTCATTTCTCATGATTTCAGTTACCTGCAATTCAAAAATATTAAATGGAAAATTCCAGAAACAAATAATTTGCAAGTTTTAAATTGCATGGACTTCTGAGTAGCATAATAAAATTTCACAACATCTCACCAAGGACCTGAGTCATCTCCCATTTTGTTCAGTGTGTCCATGCTGCATATGCTATCTACCTATTCATCAAATATTTTCTATCTTGGTATGGGATCAGTTGTGTTACCAGAATGATTTAGTTCAGTAATCCTTATTTATTTAATAATGTCCCAGACATAAGACTATTGGTACTGGCAATTCAGATATGCCAAACAGAAACGGTAAAGTGCTTCCTTGGGGTAAAAAGGTAAAATTTCTCAAATTATGAGGAGAAATTACAGTCACGCACCACATAATGACATTCTATTAATGACAGACTACATATATAATGGTAGCCTCAGATGATTACATTGCCTAATGTTATAGAAGTCTTAGTTTGCATATGTACACTTTATGATCTTAAGACCACCTAACAATACATTCACTAAAAAAAAGAATTTACACTCAAATAGTGTTGCATGGCTGTACACATAAACAGAAATCTGCAATTTCAGGCAGTTCTGGGGATTTTAGAATTTATCTCTGGCAGATACAGGGGGAATTACTGCCTCGTTATTATGAGCTTTGAAGTTAGAAAGACCAGGATTTGAACCCTAGCTCTGCCTTTTACAAACCTCAGACAAAGTTTTCATCCATTCTGAGCTCCAACTCATCCATAAAACAAGAAAATATTAACTATCTAATGTAATTATCATGACGATAAAGTGAGTATGCACAGCCTTTGAAACTTACTAGGCTGCATGACTTAGATTACCTCTTTCTGTCTTCTTGTTTGCTTCTCTTTTCCCCACCTTGTTTTCCATTTGTATCTTTTATTGTGTAATCTTTAAAAAGTTATACGATTTGTCGGGAGTTCAACTGCCTCACTTAAAAATCAAAATAATAATAGCAATAATTATAATGGCATCTGCCATGTGGATTTCACAGTCATTGAAAAGATACAGTACACACTGGGGCATTCTGAACGTCTAGAGTATTTTATCACGTATAGACTTATGGGGACTAGTAATGACTTTTATAGTGTGAATGCCTCTAAACTGTGAATAAAAACTGGGGTGAGGGTGGGAAGGAGGCAGGACTCTGGTTAAGCCTGTGAGTATATATTCAGCCTTCACCATAATTAGACTTGTAATTGGAGGCTAAGTCACAGACATTGTCAGTACTACATGCAGGCCACCAAGATACACAGAGAAACCTTCCTGCTGTGGCTCCAGCGTCTCACTCTTTCCCAATTCACCCTACACAGGACTGGATTGTTTCAAAAAGCATCGTTGTTGGTGGTAGTTTCTTTTTTACCTTATTTTTCCAAATCTCAAAACACTCAAAAGGGAATCAAGTAAACCACAATGCAGCCTCCTGCAAAGGGTTCCCTTCAACTCTCCACCCCACACAATCAAATCAATGGTGTTTCAAAGAAACAGAAGCAGATCAAAAGCAACCCCCACAATCAACACTGACAACTATCAAACCACGCCCAGAGTCCTTGGTAAATCTGCTAGCAGACACACACTGATTCAGATCAGCAGCAAGGTTTTCTTCTTGCAGGGAAAGCCATACATACATATAATTTGAAATGGTAGCTCACAAGCCACGTAAGTGTGAAGCAGCTGTCAAGGGGGCTTGTCAGCATCCTACTGAACTCTCAGCACACACTGAAGCAGAGGGATTACATTTTTACAGGACACTGAAACAAAGGGCCAGGTTTCTTAACACTCTTGAGAACAGATGCAAAACATTCACCAAACAATTATAATTAGTAATTGAGGAAAAGTAAACAGAGATCTCATACTGGAAAAACTCATTGCCATTCCTCCCAAACCCAATTCCAGAATCCTCCCTGCTCCCCACATATCCCTTTAAGGTCATTGGCCTTTGTAAGCATCAGTAATGAGCATTTATTTTCATTGGTATAAATTATTCTTCATGCTACTCATGGGAGGAAAACTAATAGATAAAAAGATACTATTTGCTCTTACCTGAGGTTAAAGGGACAGGTATTTTTAATCTGAGTCATAAAATTCTTATACTTTTACTAGTAAATAAGCACTCAAGGTTTATTAGTGTAGACTTTATTTTGGTCCTTTCCACACAAACATTGCAGCTGTAATGCTAAGATGGCCACCTCTGAGCTGCAGTCAGGATTCAACAGTATCAAGTGGATAGTTAGATGAACATGGAATCGGGGAGCTGGTTTCCCTGCCCTTTCTCCAATGCCCTCACACATTGTCCTATGTCTATGGCAGTTTATTGAGCAGTCAAAATGATCTCTCAATTATGGGACAGGTGTGTGAACCGTTTCAGGAATGGCAGTAGCTACCACCTTCCAACAAAGGCTGGGAATGCACCCAGAAGAAGAACAGATACTTCCAGTGCTGGGATAGATTCAGTGACATACCAAGAAGCCAAAAGCGATGATCTTCAGGACACATTCCAGGGAAAACACCATAGTGAAGGCAATATTCAGGTACTTTAGGGCCAGCTCATAGGTACAGGGAGCAGAGTAATACTGCCGGGTGGGACAAGAAGAGACAAAGAGTCAGCATCTTACAGTGAAGAGGGGGGCGTAATACATGTCACCAAGGATAGCTACCTCTCAACTTGAGCTTGTGGGGTACTTTGGTGTGTCGTAAGGGAGGAAATGAATGTTGAATGCTAGAGTGGAAAATTCACATCCTGTGTGACAAAACGAAGCAAAATACAAATCCATGCACCACCAACCTAGACTACACCATAGCAAAACAACCAGTCTGCCTAAAATGGAGGTGTGCAGGGCAGAAACATTTTGTAGAGGGTACTTTACTATTTAGTATTAAATAAGATCACACTCTCTTAATATCCTGGCACTCCTTTAGACTCCAAGTTGTTGAATGGATATTTTCCATCCTTGTTGGAGGTTAACTCTTATCACTACCCTGGATCTTGGAAACTCCTGGACTGTTATATGCTTTACTGCATTTGGCTCCTTGGGCCCCAGAGTCCAGTTAAAATATCAGAGGCAACAGCCTGGCACTTTGGAAGGCTTTCCTGGTGTCTCAGAGTACACACAGTTGCTAGACTGAGGAAAGTGTTACTGGCGTCCACCCTCCTCTTACCTTCATCATCAGCACCACAGTGTTCAAGGCAATCATGGCCATGATGGTGTACTCAAAGGACGGAGACACCACGAAGTGCCACACACGGTACTGGAAGGTGTGCCTGTTCTGTGGCATATAGCGGGTGAGCGGTTTGGCGCTGATGGCAAAGTCGATACAAGCCCGCTGCAGAGAAGTCACAGTCATTAGTCTTGGCTCAGACTCCCACGCCATGCGCAGGGTGGGCTCTCTGTTAAGGGGTTAGAAGGAGAGGGTGGCACGGGGACAAAAGGGTAGAGCTACACAAACATAGAAATGGCAATAAGGATCATCTGGACCAAAATACAGGCAAGACTTCACTTTAAATAGGTTCACAGAATTGGAGGTCTTCTGTCACATGAGGTAAGAACTTGGTGATTAATAAAGACTTCTCACATAGTCTGTAGCTGGGAAACTTAGATAACAAGGCTTCCCTGATGCTTTTAGCCAGAATAACTGATCAGCAGGTACACAGCACTAGAAGTATGTGAGATCTCAGATAGCCTCCCAATTTTGTAATACTTGTTCGTACATAAGATATCTCAAAATGGGACCCATGTTAAAATCCAATAATCATAGTTCATGTATGCCTAATGCAGTTAGACTAAAAATAATTTTATATAATATTTTTAATAATCTTTTGCATAAAACAAAGTGTCATACGTGGAATTTTCCATATGTAGTGGCATGTTGTGCAAACATGTTTGAATTTTGGACTTTTTTGGATTTTTGGATTAGAGATGTTCAACCTGTATCTATGTAGTCCTATAGTCCCTAACAGTTTCTAGTTCAGTTCTATTGTTAAGCAACAACAAAACCAACTAAGAAATCCTACATTTTGCCAAAACTATGTTTGTTCTTGGAAAAGCAGCCATAAGACATAGTCCCTACCCTTAGAGAAAGTATGTATGTCCCAAAGGCCATAGTCAGGAAAGCAAATGTCTTAATGTTATCTCTGAGGTGCGCATCTATTCTTTCCAGACTGTTGCATCTAAGGTAGAATACATCTTGAACATCTTGTGTTCTACCTTCTAGTTCTCTGTGACTCACATTTAGGCCTTAAACAGAGAAAGTGCTTAGAAAATGTGTTTAATGGTATTAATGTCTCCATCTTGTCTCTATAACTGCGTAATAAATTCAGAAAAACAGCCTTCTTTCTTAACCACAGGCTCCAGGTCCTTTCCTGAAGGCCCCGCAGTCCCTCGACACAGATTGCCCGTGGTTACCTCATTCTTCTCCAGGCTGCACTCTTCCATCATCTTGTCTCCTTGCTCCTGGAAGGTGATGATGATGAGAGCCACGAAGATATTGACAAAAAAGAAAGGAAAGACCACAAAGTAAACTACGTAAAAGATGGACATTTCCATGCGGTTGCTGCGGCTTGGCCCTCGGTCCTCCTCTGTCACATCCACAGAATGCTGCAGAACCCTGTGGGGGCAGGATGAGGGGGCACAATGACGGATGACAAAATCAGGAGCCAGACTACTACAGCTGTAGCAGACTTCTCTGACTTTACAGATCCTCCATTAATTTTGGGGGGGGGGGTCCGTAACCAAGTTGGTGATGAACCCTTGACATTGTACCTAAATCCTAAACAACAGAGTCACAACACTGCATAAAGTCATCATATTCAATACCAAGTGACTCCTGGATTACTATTTAGTATTTTTCTGCTAACTAGAGAATGCTGTTTCCATAAAGTGTTACATTAATCATTGCTAAGTTTTTCAGGAATTAGCCTTTAGCTACTATGGGAAGCACAGGAACTTCTTTCCATTGTCTTTTCCACAAAAGGGATGGAGAAGACATGTGTCTGTAGGTTCTTCTAGCTTATTCTTACCCCTCCATCCTCAGGCTTTTTGGTACAGAGCCAAGTTGAAGCTGTCTAAAATAACTCCCAGGGATTCTCCTAAGAGATGGACAGCTGTTGAAAATTCATTAGTTCTACAGGGGTCAGATGAGTCCTCTCAATTCCTCAATAATGGCTCAGACAGTAAGGTTTCAGATAGTTCCCTTTGTCGTTCCCCTCTCCCTCTTCATCTGTAGGCATTGTATTCTTTGTCTCCTCCCCGTCTCACCTACTCATAACCACTTACTTTCCTGAGCACAATAACAATGGGTTAGCTTTGTTCCTCTTGAATCAGCTTCTCAAGGAACCCATGTGGTCCCACCCCAGCTCACAGATAAGTGTACCAACCACAACCCAGCACTCACTGAGGCCATCCTTCCCCCGTGGAGACTGTGAAGAGGGTCAGCAGGGCCCAGATGATGTTGTCATAGTGGAATTCATGGCGCTTCCATTCCCGGCCCTTCACTTCCATCTTGTTCTTCTCATGGTCTACATAGTTGCCTCTAAAATCAGAGTGAAAATGAAAAAGGGGCTCTGCACTACATCTTATGGAAGAGCCAGAAAATTCCATGGATTTCAAGAACATGGGATAACAATGACAACCACACAAAATGTAAGGAAGAAGGGATTTTATGAAAAGGAAGGTCCTTACCATTGTGACCAGCCTGGAAGTCATCTTATTCCCCTGAGTGTCACCCCTCTCATTAGTGGGGTGACATCTCCTAATGCATGCCTAATGCAGTTAGACCAAAAATAATTTTGTATAATATTTTTAATAATCTTTTGCATGAAACAAAGTCGCATACGTGGAATTTTCCATATGTAGTGGCATGTTGTGCAAACATGTTAGAATAATCTTAGAATAAAATAGTATTGCTGTTCCTTAATGTGGGATTATATCCCAGCACTTTCACTAGTTACTGTGTAACCATGAGCAAGTTAAACTCTGCATCTCAGTGTTCACATCTGTGACACACAAATAAAACCCATCTCAATAGATTGTTATGAGGGTTTAAAATGAAAAACTGAATGTAAAATATCTTTGCCCACATTTGACACAAAAGATGTTCTCAGCACAATTTACTAAGTTCCCATTTTACAGCTCTACTGAAAGAAGAATGGAGATATAAAGGAGACAGAGTTAACCTGTGGAGAGTGGAGAAGGGCCCATCAGAACATGCTGAGCAAAGAGTGAGTGTTAGGTGCAGGTGGTACTTACATGCACTCCTTCTCTGTGTCCTTGGAGCTGTCTGTGCAATAAAAGAACTTTCCCTTGAAGAGCTGAACTGCGATGACAGCAAAGATGAACATGAAGAGCTTGTAGACAATGAGTATGTTGAAGACATTCTTCAGGGAGGTCACCACACAGTCGAACACAGCCTATAGACAGCAGCAAAGGGCCCTGGTGTGTGAGACCTGGGACAACATCTGCACCGGCCCAGAGCTGAGCTGGGCTCACACCACCACCTGGCAGCACTAGAAAATGCCCCTGGAGATGTCACCCCACTAATGAGAGGGGTGACACTCAGGGAATAAGATGACTTCCAGGCTGGTCACGATGGTAAGACCTTCCTCTTGGAAGGAAGCACACTCTAGCTGAAAGGAAACTCAAGGCAGTAAACACAAACCTGACGATGTAAAGCAACAGAGGGGTTTCTTCATGGGATCCCAGTGGGGTATTCACATGAAGCACAGAAGTTTAATGCTGGAAGGGATCTTGGAGATCACTTAGCTCATTTTAATCATTAAACACCTTGTCCCTGCCCTATTGGGTGACATTCACAAGTTTATTTCTGTGCTGACTTTTTTCCCTTTGCCCTTACTAAATGGATCGGGGTGAAAGTTCACTACAGTCTTTGTCCGTTTTAATGATACCTTGTCATATGTCCACACATTTGTACTGACTGCAGTCAAGCCTTTCATATCAATGTCCTTTAGTGTAAAGCTAGCATGAAAATAACACAGGCAACGTGAGAAGGAATGAGACCTAGTTCGACTTAGAGATGAGGATGAGAATGGATGGAATCAGGCATTTATACTTAGTTAAAACATAACAGGTCTCCAAAGACCTTCATTCCAAACCCTAAGCCGTAAGGAGTTACACAGCAGTGCAACACATTTCAAGCCATTTCTAGGCTCTTTTATAGGTTTTTAGGTTTAGCTCAGCAGAGGGACAGTTTAGCCCCATAGTGGCTCCACATTTGTGCAATTGCTTCTCCACAGCATTGGGTGAGGCATCACTGGTTTAATTAGTTTAACACTGCAGGGAATGTGAGTGACACACAGCCATGTGGAATCATCTGAGCCACCCACGTCTCCCTCAGGTTATCACACTGTGGAAAGAGGAACCAGCACTCTCTAATTTAACAGAATTAACCAAGGTCGAGGTCGCTTTCTCCAGTCTGTTAACTAATCTCATCAACCCGCCTGCAGGCTCCCGGGGATCCACAGATGCCTGTATTGCAGCTGGCAACCTTGGCTGGGGCCCCAGGAAAGGGACACAAGGGGAGAGTACTGCTAGGTACAGGCCAGGCTAGTTGCTGGGCTGATGGGAGGTCTCATTTCAGGGGAGAACGCAGGGAAGCCACTTCTTTAGAAGCTTAAGTGTTTCCTGCAGTGTGCCAGGGCCTTGTTTCTGACAGGATGCCATGTCTTGGCCAGTTTGAGGCCTTTCAGGAGTGACTCTCCTCTGCCCCTTGTGTTAAATAAATCTAGATTGTTTTGCCTCCTTCCTGCAGAACAAGGACAGGAAGGAAAGCAGACCAGCAGAAGTCTGGGTTAGGGATGGAGTTGGTAGGGAGCATCAGAGGTTACAAGAACCGAATAGGAAATGAGAATCCAGATGCAAAAAAGTATCAAACCCACAGCTTTCTGTCCCTTGTGGCAGATATGGGAGAGAGCAGGCCCACACATGCCAGCAGGATTGCTGAGTTCACTTGAAGGGACCATGCAAGTCAGCTCATCTGTCCACAACGCAAATGTGTGTTAGGAAATTTTCAAGTTGAAAGTCTAAGAATAAATAATTTGCCACAGGTCATGAAGCTCCTACACGCCACAGCTGAGCCTGGCACTAACAAGGGCTCTTTTTTAAGGTGACAAGGAAACAGGGCTGGGTTTAGAAGGCAGGTTCCAAGCTCTCCCACAGACAATCTGATTTTATTTTACCAGAGTGGCCCAGGAATCTGTATTTGAAAAAGCATCTTATGGATCCTGATGCAGGTGGCCTGTAACCCACACTTGGAGACATTGCCCTATTCTTTGTGACTGTAGGCTGGTAATTAAATCTGCTTCTGGAGACGCATCTTGATGTAGCCCTTGAAGATGGACTCAGCCCTGGTGCTTCAGTTTGCTTTCCTGGCCTTGTGATCCTGGCAACAGCAACAAGACTGAAAGGCTAGGGGCTGGGGATTTAGCTCAGCGGCATAAGTGCCTGCCTTGGAATCAGGCAGTCGTGAGTTCGATCCCTGGTACCGATAAAAACAAAAAAGACCAAAAAAAAAAAAAAAAAAAAAAAGACTGAAAGTGTTGGGAGCTGCGTCTGTGATAGCTCGCCTTGCGCGGCGGACGTGCGGCCTGTGGTAAAGAGCAAAGCCTGAGGTAGATTACCCCTCCCATCGAATATGTTAGTTTCCTGCTTACCGCGTAAACAACCCGCTCAACAATATAGTCTGCCTGGCAACTGATGATGTTAGCCAATCAGCTTGCCTTGCTTACTTTAACATGATTGGACACTGTACCCGTATATATACCGGTGCCACCCCTGGGCGGAAGAAGAAGCCAGGTAGAAGCCCGGAAGTAGAAGCCCAGAAGGAGCCGCGGAGAGCGGACCGGTAGAGGCTTTGGGGCAGACTGAAGCACAAAAGGAGCCGCGGGGAGCGGACCAGAGGAGGCTTCAGCTGGGAGAACCCAGGGCAGGCTGTACAGAGAAGGAAAATAAAAAGAAAAGGTTGTCCACTACCAGACTTTGTCGTGTGTCCTTCCTGCCGGCCGGGAGCGGACATCGACATTTGGAGGCCCGCCCGGGGACTGATCACCCCCGAGACGTGGAAGTGGACAACGCTCCAGTACAGAGCTGCGAGACAGGTGAGTTGGGGATAAGCCTGGGCTCTGGGTGGCGCGCACCTACAGGGCTTTTAGACTCCCCTCAGGCTCACGCGTAAGTGGCGGATTCCTTGGGCCTCACGCGGTGAGTAACATATTAAAAGATGGGAAACATGTTAGGTAGCAACACTAAGAGCGAGGGTGGTTGTGGAGAAAGCTCTCAAGAGCTTACAAAAGTACGCAGGGTATCTGAGCAGGCCCAGTCAGGGAGCTCCCGAGAGGGGTCCGTCAAGGGGAACAAGGATGCTAAGGAGGAGGACGGGGCTCTAGCCTCGGAGTCGTCTGACTCCGAGGACGAGGGAAAGTTGAATGGCAAGGAGGCCAAAGAGACCAGCTGTCAGGAGCCTAAATCGCTCAATAAGGAGTCGCAGGGTTCTTTTCCAGCGTTGCGCCGCGAATTGCGCTCTGCTCAACCTGGTCTGCGGAGGAGTAGAGAGCTCCTGAGCGCTCCCCGGCGCGAGAGGGAGGCGATTCCTCGCCACGAGGCGGCCGCCTGGGAGCTCTCTCCCCTTTCGCCAGAACAGGAAGTGATGCACGGGCCCCCATTTTCCGCCCAATCACGGCCGCTGTCTTATGCTCCGCCGCCGGCGGGTCGGTATTTTTACAGGCGGCTTTGGCAGGGGGGACGCTTGTCTCATGAGGTACATCCACCTGGGATAGATAGTGGCCCCTACGGGATATTTCCTGTACAAGTAGCTATGGGCCAGGGACGCAATGCATGGGAGCCTTTTGAGATAAAGCAGATTAGAGAACTTAAAAATGCAGTTACAACCTTTGGGCCGACTGCGCCTTACACCATTGCCATGCTGGAGAACCTGTCTTCTGGGCCCCTCACCCCCGCGGACTGGATTCAGCTGACAAAGGCGTGTCTGCCCTCGGGTAGTTACCTGGATTGGCGAGCCTGGTACGCAGAGTTCTCTGCAGAGCAGGCTGAGAGAAACGCCAATCGGGGAAACCGGGGGTGGAACAAGGAAATGCTTATGGGAGAAGGTCGGCACGCTGATGACCAGACCCAGTTCCCCGGCGCTGTCTATGAACAAATCAATGCCATAGGGCTCCGCGCCTGGAAACAGGTAAGTGGTGCCGGAACAGCCTCCTTGTGTCTTTCAAAAATAATTCAGGGTACCACAGAGCCATTTGTTGACTTTGTGGCCCGAATGCAAGATGCTGCCGATAAGATATTTCCTGATCCGGGAGTGGCTCAACCGCTGGTAAGACAGCTGATTTTTGAGCAATGTACAAAGGAGTGCAAGGCAGCGATAGCTCCTCATAAGAACAAGGACCTCAACGCCTGGATTAGGATATGCAGAGAGATAGGGGGGCCGCTCTCCAACTCGGGAGTGGCTGCTCTCCTGGCCGCGGCTGTACAGCAGAGGGGACCTCGCGGGTTAGAAGGGGAATGTAAGGCTAAAGGGTGTTTTGCCTGCGGGGAGCCAGGACACATTAAACGTCATTGCCCAAACAATGCAAATGCTAGGCCTCGCCCTAGGAATGAAGAACCATATGTTTGTGGGCGATACAAAAAGGGATCACACAAAGCTGAGGAGTGTAGGTCGGTCTTTGATGCTCAGGGCAACCGTATTTGTGGACAAGATGCTAGAGAGCCAAAAAACGGCCAGAGGGGGCCCCCTTCACAGGCGGGCCCCCGCCCCAGAGACAGGACAGCTCAGGGTGGCAGCCTTCAACAAGGGCCACCCCTGGGTCAGCAGGTGTGGACCTCAGTGTCGCCTCCAGACTTATACAGAAGGTCACCATTAGGACGGATGGCGTTAGGACCCTAAATGACATGCAAAAACTATTGGGAGACATTAATTGGATTAGGCCATATTTACATATACCAAATTCAGATCTCAAACCCCTGTTCGACCTTCTGAAGGGAGACCCAGATATAGCCTCCCACAGGAGGCTCACTCCTGAGGCAAGAGCTGCCTTACAGAGAGTGGAAAAAGCCTTAGGTGGGGCTACCTTACACAGAATTGAACCAGGGCGACCCTTTGATGTCTGTTTGCTACAGACTAGTCTACAGCCTACAGCGGTGATTTGGCAGAAAGGACCACTACTGTGGATACACCCTAAGGTCTCACCTGCAAAAGTCATAGAGCATTACCCGGAGGCAGTCGCTTCATTGGCCCTTGAAGCGCATGATAGAGCTGTCCAACATTTTGGCTCAGGACCACAAGCCATCCGAGTACCCTATACCGCCAGCCAGATCAAGACCCTGGCTGCCTACATAGATACATGGGCCATTCTGAGATGTGTTTTCCATGGGGATATAAACAATCAATACCCTAAAGACCCTATCTTGTCATTTGTCACTCAGCACCCTATAATTTTTCCAAAGGTTACTGCCTCTGAGCCATTAGTCCTAGCAACTACAATATACACAGATGGCTCCAAGACGGGGATAGGCGCCTATGTGATCCTAGGCAAGCCCCCGGTTACCATACAATTTAAACCAGATCAGCCTCAGGTGGTAGAACTACAGATCGTTAAAATGATTCTTGAACGGTTCTCAGAAGCCATTAACATTGTCTCTGATTCTAGGTATGTGGTCAATGCTATGCAAGTGCTTGAGACTGCCAGTTTAATTAGATCCACTTCCACAGTGGCTGGACTGTTCCTGTCTATCCAGACATTGCTTCAGAACAGACACCATAAGGTCTTCACCACCCACATAAGAGCACATACATCCCTGCCGGGGCCCATGGCACAGGGGAATGCGGCTGCTGACACTGCCACTCGCCCGTTATGGATTTTTACCTTACTAACACCAATCGAGCGAGCCCGTGCCTTCCATGATAAATTTCATGTTAATGCCAGGACACTAGCAAACCATTTCCATGTTTCTAGAGCAGATGCACGAGATATCGTGCGACTATGTGACTCCTGTGCCACATACAAACCTGCCATACCGATGGGAGTAAACCCTCGAGGTTTGATCCCTGGTGATGTTTGGCAGATGGACATCACACATATACAGGAGTTTGGGACTCTTAAATATGTTCATGTTTCCATAGACACCTGTTCTCACGTCATATTCGCAACAGCAAAAACAGGTAAAAAAGTGTCTAATGTGATCAATCATTGCCTGGCAGCTTGGGCCGCATGGGGCAAACCAAAAATATTAAAAACTGATAATGGACCAGCCTATATAGGCAAAGCCTTCAATGAGTTCTGCAAAATGAGGGAGGTTCAATTAAAACATGGTATCCCATACAATCCCCAAGGTCAAAAAATCATTGAGAGGGCTCATAAAAGCCTCAAAAAAATTTTACAAAAACAAAAAGGGGGAGTAGGCCAAGGCCTGGCCCCAAAGGCACGATTATCCATGGCACTATTCACACACAATTTTTTAAATTTAAATAATGATAATCGCTCCCCAGCTGTGGAGCACTGCAACCCTTCCCCCAACCATAAAGGGTGGGTGAAGTGGAAAGATGTCCTGACAGGACAATGGATGGGCCCGGATCCAGTGGTCAGCTGGAACTGAGGCGCGGTTTGTGTTTTCCCACAGGAATCGGGACGAGAACCACTGTGGATACCGGAGAGACTGACACGGGCAACAAAGCCCTCGACTGAAGATCAGACCTGCCCTACTGGAGATCCATCACAGACCAACCAATAAGATAAATAAAAATAGCGGTAGCCCGAAATGGACAAGAAGATCCTCAGGCATATGCATGGCTTGCTCAATTGGCCCACGACCGAGTCTAGATATGGCGGGCATCCCTCATTCTCCTCCATAAGGTGACAATACACAGCAGGGTAGGTGAGTCAATGACGGGTAAGAGCGTGCCTCCCCAGCACGACTCGACCTAAGCCAGGCCCTACCCCATCCTGCACGTAAGCCGCTGGACTGTTAGATGCTGCCCAGGTCTAAATTTCTCTCCGAGGGGATTTCTTTACGGAGAGGAAATGAGTGCAAGCTTGTGTGCATCCAGGTTCCGTCCAGTTTGTGCCTGGCCCTAGAAAAAGGACGAGGGCCTCAGGGCCTTGGCAGACCATGGCATGGCCAACCAGGGTCTAAGCCAAGGACCTACGGTGGACCTACACATAGGGCATAAGCCTCTGCACCCAGTCCAGGAAGGGCTACGATGCGCACATTCATAAAAAATAAAATAGGGGGAGATGTTGGGAGCCGCGTCTGTGATAGCTCGCCTTGCGCGGCGGACGTGCGGCCTGTGGTAAAGAGCAAAGCCTGAGGTAGATTACCCCTCCCATCGAATATGTTAGTTTCCTGCTTACCGCGTAAACAACCCGCTCAACAATATAGTCTGCCTGGCAACTGATGATGTTAGCCAATCAGCTTGCCTTGCTTACTTTAACATGATTGGACACTGTACCCGTATATATACCGGTGCCACCCCTGGGCGGAAGAAGAAGCCAGGTAGAAGCCCGGAAGTAGAAGCCCAGAAGGAGCCGCGGAGAGCGGACCGGTAGAGGCTTTGGGGCAGACTGAAGCACAAAAGGAGCCGCGGGGAGCGGACCAGAGGAGGCTTCAGCTGGGAGAACCCAGGGCAGGCTGTACGGAGAAGGAAAATAAAAAGAAAAGGTTGTCCACTACCAGACTTTGTCGTGTGTCCTTCCTGCCGGCCGGGAGCGGACATCGACATGAAAGGCTAGAAATTGGGAGCTGAGAAGTCACAGAAATTCAGAAAGAACTTCTCTCCTATGGAGCTATAGCTTCCACTAATATCAACATATTAGTGGGGAGAAGGCAGGGTGAAGGTGAGTCCAACACACTGGCAAACTGAAATGGGAAAGCATAGTCCGAGAGGAAGGAATAGCTTGAGAAGCTGGCACCCAGGGAGCATGAGCAAGGAGAGTACCAGACGCAGAGGAATCAGGTCCTGCCAATAGGGAGAATTTAATTTGGGGTAAATCGTTTACCCAATTATTTGCAGCTTGTGCAAAATGGACTATGTGTCTTTGGAAAAGTTACTGACCTATCTGTGACCCCCAAAATCTGAGTTTAGAGCTAGCAGATCCCTTCCTCTTGTAGACTCATAAATAAAAAAAACTCCAAGTTATCCTGCTCACCCTAGCCTGTAGTCTGCAACCCATTCAAAGGGCTCCCACAGCTTCCATTTTAGTGTTCTGGGTCCACTTTAAGGACATAAGAAGGCTTCTTCCTGGGTTACTTGGCACTAGAAAGTACAAGATGTTACCTGAGTCTGGACTCAAGAGGCAAAAGCCCTCATACTGATTTTTGGGAATGGTGGGCATTTTCCTTCAACACTAAGACCTTAACTCAGGAAGCTGAGAAGAACCTCAGAGCCTGTATGAGAACACTAAATGTTCCCAGAATGTATCCTCTTTAGCCATGGCTAGAAGAGGGGAGCAGGGGATGTGAAGAGAGCAAGCTCCGAAAATATTACCTTGAGCTTAGGCAAGCGCTTGATAGTTTTTAGGGGCCTCAGAACTCGGAGTACCCGGAGAGATTTGATGGTCTTGATGTCGCGTCCCTTGTTGGTTCTGCAGGGAAAACACCACCAGGGAGTCATTTTAAACATGGGGAGAATATGTAAACAAATTTATATCTTTTTCCTTTTCCCTTCCTTCTTTTCTCCTTTCCCCTATGATTAAATTGCTAATTCTATTAGCTCTTGGAAAAGAACAGTTTATTTATTTCATACAATTAGATCAGTTTTGCATGCCTAAAAAAAGCAACTCTTTTGAAGATAACAATAGTCAATATTACAGCCATTATTAAATTCTTATCATCTTATTTTGAGAGCCTATATTGTTAATGTTTGGGGTCTTTTGTTGTTTTTGTGGTTGTTTGCATGTTTCTTGTTTTCTGTTTTTCTTTTCTGTATTTTTTGTCTCTTTAAAATAAATTTAAAAATAAACATGGAAATAAAAGCAGCAGTCACATTTCTGCACTACTAACAACAGGTAAAAGGATAAAGAAGTGGATAAGAGGTCAGAACTTGAGCCAGTGTAAACTCCTTCAGGGACACGCTGTTTTTGAAAACAATGCCCAGGAACATTCTCCAATCACTTCCCAGAGTGCATGCACACACACGATTACATGCATACATACACATGCACACCAATGTACACAGACGGTCCCTGATCCACTATGGTTCAACTTACAATTTTTCTATTGGATGATGTGAAAGTGGTATGCATGAGGTAGCAACTGTACTTCAAATTCTGGTATTTTCCAGGGCGAAAGCTATGCAGTATATCATTCCCTCCCGGTGCTGGGCAGCTGCCGCTTCAGTCAGCCATGAGATCATGAGGGTAAATAATAACTCTATGTGCTGCTCAGCTATGATATTTGGTAGGTAGATGCATTAAATGGGTTTCTAATTTACATATTTTCAATTTTTGGTGAGTTTACTGGGACATTACCCTGTCATAAGTTATGGAGCATCTGTGTACTGAGAAGCAGGTAGGCACACTTGCACTTACACATTCACACAGGCATGCATTTACATGTGTTACTAACTCTTCTCCCTAACTGCCAGCCTAGTGCTGCTCATCACCATCCTACTGAGTAAAACAGAAGGTTTTACCCTCAACTAGGGAACATAACCAGTTTGAATCCCTACTGTACCTAGTCTACTGTTTCTCCAGTAGCAGATTCATAAATGATAATCATTAACTTGAATGAGAATCCATGGTTAACTTCATCAGAGCATTTGACTTACTCCAGGTGTGTTAGCTCTGCCCAGTTCATCAGGGTGGGAAGATCAAGCCACCACATTCAGAGAAATCTTCTCACCACCCGATATCCCCAGTTAGCTGGCTGTTCCCATGGTCTTTTCCATTCCACACACTCTGCACCTAGCACAAGCTTCACAGAGGCACTCAGGCGGAGCAGTCAGGCCCTGCCCACCTTTATTCTACCCTGCAGCTGATGACTATCATTATTCAGCCTCTTAGAAATGTCTGCTCCTAATAGAGAAAATATAGTTCTCTTATTTCCAGGAATAAAATGAATAAATCAAATTGCATTTCTTTTTCCTTTCTGTGCATCCTCTGTGATCTTTATATTCAACTCAAATAACTGCAATTTGCAAAACATGCAGGTGGCAGAAAACAAGACTAACTGGTGAGGTCAGATTGTGATTTCTTTCCCAAGTTAGCCCAGATTACTACTATGCCAACAATTTGAGAAAAAGTGATCCAGAATATCATAAGGAAACTACAAGGGATTCCATCTGAATTTTGCCTTGGGATACCCACCTTAAGGAAGACAGAATTCTCTCTCTTCTTTCACATAATGTAAGGCAGGAAGACATTTAATCCAACTTCAGGAATGCTGAGTTTGCCCAAGACATTATTTTACAACTCTCTTAATGGTCATAGGCTATAACCTACAAGTCCTTTTTATCTCTATATCTGAATATAAATGATCCAAAAGTATAAAATTGATACAGACTTTTGTATCCAGAGCCTTTGGGATATATTGTAAGGTATTACATACACAAAAGAGGCAGCATATAAGTCAAATACTACTCAGATAAGAATAATTATTTCTCAAGGTGGCTTAGTCACTCATAATTTTTAAACTTTTGGACATCAATGGAAACTCACCATTCCTTCTTCAATGAGTCAGCTCTTCCTCTCCCAACCACAGTTTCTCCCTCCCCCAAACCACTCCTCCCATCTTTTACTTAAAAAAAAAAATCAAACATATTTACCCCAAAGCATTCCTATGGAGGATCCAACGAAAGCAGTAATAGAAAGGGGTAAGGGATAGAAAGAAAGATGACAGTCAGAAAACTCTAAGGAGAACAGGGACCAATACAGGGACACGACCTGCCCACAGCCTTGGCACTTGTGGAGCCCACAGAATTTATGAAAGGAAGGACCAAGCAATACCTGCTCCATGAGTGCCACCCCCAACCACAGGGACAAAGGTACTTTGCACAACCGGTGAAACTTCTAGATCAATGACACTCCAAGTCTTGTACTATTGCAGCCTAGCTTAATTGAAATTTTCCAAATTTTCATTTGCTGAGCAGTCTTCAGACAAAAGCGCTGTTTCAGGTACATGTATAAGACACTAGTTTGGAGGAATTACTCCTCTGCATAATTTCTCTCCTTAGGAAAAGCAATTCAAGACACAAGAGAGTAGCTTAAGCAGGGTTTCATCTGAAGAGGAACAAGGACTACTCTGGTGTCTCTTCCAAGCTCAGGTGACCAATACCCCTAAACCAATTGAAATATGGGGGATCTATTAGTCTATCAAGGTTATAGAAAAAGTTGCCCTTTGGTAAATTAAATAAGTATTGTCAGTTATGTACTGTGCAGATGAAGACAAATCATCACTGCTTCAGTGGTGAGTCACAATAAGTCAAAGCATAAATGTCTTTGAGATAGAAATAATTTTAACTTTTTGAGTAATTATTGTTTATTCTAAGCTACATGCATTAGTGCAAATCTTTTTTTAATGTTCCTAGCAATCTTAGGATATAGGTTTTACCTTTCTTATTTCACAGGTAAGATTCAGAGAGGTTAAGATGTCCAGTGCCACCTGACAAAGCTGGGACTTGAATGTAAGTATAGGTGATACTTGGAGCTGTTACCCTTAACTGAAAAGTCTGTGCACTAGCAGTTACTGGTTCAAAGCTCTGTCAAATGGCTCAACAAATTTTGAGCTAGAAAAGATCTCTGAAACCCACTTACTTGAAGAAGAAACAGGCCTCAGGAAGAAGTGGCATTCGTAAGATCACTCCATAAGAGAGCCCAGAGCCCAGGTGAACCCATATCTCATGATTTACTATCTTGGCCCACTGCTATGAAGAAGTACCCAAAATTCAGGCTTTGGCTTAATTGCCAGTACTTTTTCTCATTAACCTTTTTTCCATGTAACAAAAGCTATGCTATACTACCTACCTACCATATGTCACAAACAAAAACTTTTAATGCCCATTTTACTCAGTAAACATATTCAATTTTCAACATTACATTAATTTTTGCTGTGCATGCCAAATAAATGGTTACAAGAGAATTAAACCCAAGGTTTTAGACTCTTAAATTCTTAATGTGGTAATGTCCCAGTGTTCAGAGGACTGAAGTATCTTCCCTTGAGTTGCAACAGAATCTTTTCACATATGAGACCAGACATTAAAGTTGGTTAGTTAACAAAACCTTTATCTTTCACACGACAAGCATCTGTGGGGTCCTTACCTTACAGCAGACAGTGTTCCAGGTTCTGGAACAAAAGAGGTGACTAATCCCTTAGAACGTGCCTAGTCTAGTAGGGAAGACGGACCCCAAGGAAATGAACACATAAATAAAAGTATAACGGCAAGCTGCCACAGGAAAGATTGAATCATTGATTGAAAATTTACCAAAATAACAGCATAAACCACTCTACTTTCTCCACTTTTATTTTAAGGAAAAACTAAAGGAGACCTTCATACCCCTAAGATGTGAGAACAAGTTGGGGAACAGATATACAGACACGTGGTTTAGGATTATACACTCCGGGCTTTGCTTTCTGCTTAGCCCTGGCCCTTATCTCAAAGATCTTTATATCTAGGGACAACTGAAGGGGTTCTTAGAGGCCACACAAGAAACAACTATAAACAGGATGGCCTAATATATCTTGATTTTCTGACACATCTGGATAAAGGACAGAATTTTCTCCCTACAATTAATTTTTCTGCAGGATCATGGTAAAATATTGTGGTACAGAACATAGCGGATTTATAATCACTGTATCCATGTTCCTTATTTTTGGAAATTAAGGTTCCTTAGAAACTGGACTCATTCAGGTCTCAGAATAGATAGTAATCCCATGCAGGCTGAAAGAGAAATAAGGACTAGTCATTTCTTTCTCTCCTTTCAAACAAGTCTCTTAGAGCACAGGAGACACTGAAAAGCAATGCTTTTGTAGCATACATGAGGCTTAACATTGAAATAAAAAGCTATGATTTGAATGGATGCAGAAAAATATGTTTGCATCCTATATTTTGTTATTATAGGGTCAACACTGATTTGAAAATTACCATTCAAAATAACAAAAATAATGATAACATAACCACAGAGTGAAGAAAAGCTTCAACAATTTAGCCCTGACTAGTTAAAAGACAAACAAATCATAATTTAGATAGAGGCTAGGCCAAAGTACCTCTACCAGATCCATTATGAAAACCAAAGATCTCAAGAGAGATGTTTTGCCAAACTAAGAGGGAAATGTCTTAGTTGAGGCACATTGTTTTGAAAAGAACTTATGTGCTTTTCAAGAATCATCTAAATAAGTCATCTGATATAACCCTTAGCCTTTGTTATTAAATGTATAATCAGATTTGTTTTATACATCATAGCTAGTTAGAATTTCAACAGATTTAAGAGTTGACTGTAATATAAAAGTCTGAGGATAACTCCACGGGCTACAACACTTGTCCTGCTTCAACTGAGAGTCAGTGGGACACTTACTTTACCATTTATTTTCCACTTATCTGTAAGCAGACTGTCTCTAGGACAAAATAATGCTGTTTCTCTCGTGTCTCATCAGTAAAAGATGAGGGTTTTATAGCTCAGTCGTCGAGTTGTCCTCCAGATGTGTCATGTGTAATCACTCATCATTCACCGTCGTCTTGTTCTCCAGCTGCCAGGTCCCCTCTTCTCAGAGGACACACTCAAGCTGATTGCTGCTACGAACAGGCTTTCCTTTCCATGGCAGCCGAGAGGACGCAGTGAGCACTGAAGAGTGCTTCATTCTTTTTTTCCTTTTTTTGCAGTGGTGCATGGTGCGTATCAGGCAAATGCTTTACCACTGAGCTGTATCTAGAAGCCCAAGCCCAGCACTCTTTCAGTGTCCTGGTCCCTTGCCCTCCTCAAAATCCCAGGAGGCAACATTGCAGCGTCTGAAGGAATCTCTTGCCTTGGGGGAAGGGCTAGGCTTGTAGAAGGGTAAGACAGGAAGAGAAGACATGCTGGGAGGAACTTTGAGTACTTTCCTGAAGGGTCTGGATAATTACCTGGTAATTATATAATTACCACTTATTATATAATTTAAGTGCCTGATACTATATTGAACACTAAATATATTTTACCTTATTTAATCTCATTGGACCAAAATACATTTAGTTTTAATTCCCACTTGCTGATGAAGAAGCAGAAGTTCAGTGATTTAAAGCAGCTAATAATTAATATTGCTAGAATTTAGAACTCACTGTGTCAATGCTGAATCCTAAGCTTTTATGTGCCATATCACAATACCTCTCAAAAGGGAAGGATTGTAACTGAAGAAAGAAATAGGGAGAGAAACAAGCAATTTCTGAGCTCGAATATTAAGACAATATCTTTTACTCACTATAGTCAGTCTGGGTCAGTTCACAGGCAGAAAAAGTTACAGGTGAAACATCAAGATGGATGAACCCAGGGGTGCACTTCACCGTCTGCCCTGTAGATCCTGTGTATGTCCAAGTAGAAATAAAGGATCTGCATGCTGAGAGAGGTCAGGGCAAGCCACTGCTTTGAGTTTATTGGGATTAATGACCTGGTACCACCTGGATCATCATGGCAGAAGGGACTCTGACATACTGGAGAAAACACTGAACTTGAAATCAGCACACCAAGGCTGCTCATAAACTCACTGCACTCTTTACTCGTCAAATAAGTCGAACTAGTCAAAACTCTGGCAGTTCATTCCCAAACCATAAAGTGGACTGTCAGAATAAATGAAATAAAGTATTCAAGGAAATGAGAAGGAAGTTTCCCCTTTTGTACTAATAACGCTTGCCTCTCTAAGACCTGTGGGTAAGACTATGATTGCTTATGGGAAAATCTCAACTTAGCACTCTGACCATGTCACTGCTGCTGCTGCCATCAGGAAATTATTTTTCCTTCTTTCCATGCCTTAGCATCTCTTGAGTTCACCCATATGCCTTAAATCTACTGTTATTCTATCTTTGTTGTGTAACCATAGAACTAGCTAAGTGCTTGACGCCTATTCCTTTCTGTACGTGGACCTCAACAAGCTTCTCATATATATGACACCCTTTTGTGAATTTTCTCCTCTGCACTACACAGCACAGTACTGCAAGTGGAAGGTATTTTCTGTCCAGGCACTAAACAGCAACAGGAGGCAGCAAAGCATCTGTCTTCTAGCAGTTATGCCATTCAGTCTGCTGAACAGTGACCTGATTTGTATTTCTTCCTAGTCTTCCTGTTCCAGACATACCCCAAAATCATCTGCTGATCTTTCGAGGAAGGCCTTGCCTGAAGTACAGCCAATACAGCCTCCCAGCTGGAGACTAATTTGGAATTCTAAGCTGTGGCCCTGTGAGTGTGGATTAAGCAGATGGTGGGCAGGTCACATGGTCTGGGCAATACTTCCGGAAGACCCATCATGAAGGTCTCAGAGTACCCTAAACCTACTTTTAGAGTGACAGGTTGCCATTAGTCCTGCAAGGCTACGCTCTTCTCATGGCATGAAGCCTCGCCTTCTATAGTGCTTTTTGAATCTGGGTCTGGTCAGACTAGTTGCTGGTTACCATGTGGAAGGAACAGTTTCCTGATTGAACCATTTCATTTTGCTTAGTTTATGGCCAAGATCCTACTTATAACCAAGTATCTTCCAAATGTGCTGGGGATAAAGAGAATTACTTAGGTGTGTGCACTATAGGACAGAGTGCTGCAAATGCATATTTTCCAGGGGACTCCTCAGCAACACCAATCACATTTTTCAGTGTTTGCC